TGCAGGGCAAGAGAGAGACAGGCCGAGTGGGTGGGTGTGCACCTGCTTGTGAGGCGCCTGTCCCCGGACACACTCAGCTCTTTACAAGCATTAGCTAACCCCTCTGGGAGACAGTATTAGCCCCATTTCACAGATGGGGAAACTGAGGCACAGAGCAATGTAAACAACTCTCCCAGAATCATGCGGACTGCCACTGGCAGAGCTGGGAATACAACCCAGGAGTCCTGACTCCCAGCCCCCTTCACTTGAACCACTGGCCCAAATCGCCTCTGAACGGTGAAGCCTTTCTTTGCTGGAGATGGGGCAGATTCTTGCCCAGCGCTGGGTCTGGGAGCTCAGAGAATCTCTAAGGATCAGAAAACCTCCAAGGAGGGCGGGATCTTGTGGGCGCTTTTGGCCTGTTACCCCTGCTTCTTGAGAAGGCATCAGGATGCCTGGGCCAGGTCATCAACTCCCCCAGCCCTAAAACATCGCCCTGGCTATACAGCTCTCTCTAATGACTGACCCACTGGTTTCTCTTACTGATACAAAACCCAGAAGATCCAGCCTGGGCCGGCGGGTGCCAGGACAGATGCCAGGCAGTTTGCTCTTCCCAGAGACTAACTGGCCCCTGGGGGGGGGGGGGGGGGCTTGGCAGGGTGCAGAATGACTGGAGCAAGCGCCACCTTGCCCACGATCCCTCCCTCTTCTGCCTGGTGTCCGCTCTACCCCCAGCACCCTGCTTCGGAGCTGGTTCTGCCCCAGACGTGCGCCCCCCCCCCCGTGCCCTGGTGCTTCCCCAACATGCCTCGTGTGCCCATCTAGCTGGCACAAAGGGGCTGCCGGGCAGCACAGGAGGGGGCCCTCTGTGTTAACAATGACGGGTTGGGCACCCTCCGTAAAGATAAGGATTTCCAGGCAGCCCTGACCACTGGGAGATTTGCTAAATCCATCATTTCTGCCCACAAACCAGTGCCCCCCAACCCAAGCCCCAGCTCGCTTGCTGGGGGGTGGGGGAGGAATGCCTTCAAATTAGCTCGTCATTTCTACGGCTTTGAACTGACTGGGTTCGATGGTGCTTCTGCCCCTGAGGATCAGGGCGGTCACTGGGCAGGGTTGGCAGCCCCGCTGCCAGGGCTAAACGTGGCTTCAGTTAGATTTAAACTCATTCTAGGTCCCCATTTAACTCCCTAAAATAGAATCTCAGGGTTGGAAGGGACCTCGGGAGGTCATCTAGTCCAACCCCCTGCTCAAAGCAGGGCCACAATCCCCAATTTTTGCCCCAGATCCCTAAATGGCCCCCTCAAGGATGGCACTCATAACCCAATGCCCAAACCACTGAGCTATCCCTCGCCCTCCCTGAGCAACTCAAGATGTGCCCGCTGAGTATCCTGGGGTAGGCAGAGTGGCTGCGGGGCCTAGGTGTGAACCGTGAGCGTGCAGGAGTGAACGTATGAGTGTTTGCATGTGAGTGCATTCACGTGTATGTCTGTGGGTGAGTGCATGGAGGTGTGCGTGTCTGAGGATGCGTGCAAGGGAGTACATTTACATGCATGAGTCCATTGACATGTGTGTCGGGGGGGTGCATGTGAGGGCATTTACTTGTGTGCGTGTCCATGTGTTTGTGGACACGCACACAAGTAAATGCTTTTTTTGCCTCTGTTTTCACTAACAAGGTCAGCTCCCAGACTGCTACGCTGGGCATCACAAAATGGGGAAGAGATGGCCAGCCCTCTGTGGAGACAGAGGTGGTTAGGGACTATTTAGAAACTGGAGTGCAAAGTCCACGCGACATTATCCAGAGTCTAAGGAATGGCTTGATTGCAGAGCCATTGGCCATTATCTTTGAAAACTCGTGGCGAACCTGGGAAGTTCCGGATGACTGGAAAAAGGCTAATGTAGTGCCAATCTTTAAAAAAGGGAAGAAGGAGGATCCTGGGAACTACAGGCCAGTCAGCCTCACTTCAGTCCCTGGAAAAATCATGGAGCAGGTCCTCAAAGAATCAATCCTGAAGCACTTGCATGAGAGGAAAGTGATCAGGAACAGCCAGCATGGATTCACCAAGGGAAGGTCATGCTGACTAATCTAATCGCCTTCTATGATGAGATTACTGGTTTGTGGATGAAGGGAAAGCAGTGGATGTATTGTTTCTTGACTTTAGCAAAGCTTTTGACACGGTCTCCCACAGTATTCTTGTCAGCAAGTTAAGGAAGTATGGGCTGGATGAATGGACTATAAGGTGGATAGAAAGTTGGTAGATTGTCGGGTCAACGGGTAGTTATCAATGGCTCCTGTCTAGTTGGCGCGTATCAAGTGGGTGCCCCAAGGGTGGTCCTGGGGGGTTTTGTTCATGTCTTCTAAATGATCTGGAGGATGGTGTGGTTGCACTTCAGCAAATTTGCGGATGATACTAAACTGGGAGGAGTGGTAGATACGCTGGAGGGGAGGGATAGGATACAGAAGGACCTAGACAAATTGGAGGATTGGGCCAAAAGAAATCTGATGAGGTTCAACAAGGACAAGTGCAGGGTCCTGCACTTAGGATGGAAGAACCCAATGCACAGCTACAGACTAGGGACCGAATGGCTAGGCAGCGTTCTGGGAAGGAGTAGGGGTGACAGTGGGGAGCTGGATATGGCAGTGGTTGTTGCGAAGGCAGGATTTTGGGATGTATAAGTAGGGGATAGGAGCAGATCGAGGCGTGCGTTCCCCTCTTTCGACTTGGTGGGTCTCTGGGTACTGTGTCCGTTTTGGGCCCTTCAAGAAGGAGGGATAAATTGGAGAGAGTCAGCGAAGGCACAAAAAGATTAGGGGTCTGGAACACATGGTTATGGGAGAGGCTGAGGGGCTGGGTTGTTTAGCTGCAGAAGAAAGAATGAGGGGGGATTTGTAGCTGCTTTCAACTCTGAAAGGGGTTCAAAGAGGGGTTAGATGTTCTCAATGGTAGCGATGACAGAACGAGGATAATGGTCTCAAGCTGCAGTGGGGGAGGTTTGATTGGATATTAGGAAAAACTTTTTCACTAAGAGGGTGGTGAAACACTGGAAGGTTACTAGGGAGGTGGTGAATCTCCTTCCTTAGAGGTTTTAAGGTCAGGTTGACAAAGTGGGGGGATTAACTGGGTTGGTGTTGGCGGGGGTTGGATGAGATTCTGGGGCTTCCAACCCTTTTTCTTGTTGATTGTGTGTGTGTCCGTGTACACGTGAGTGCATTTATGTGTGTGCGTGTGAGTGTGCCCGAGTGCATTTACACGAGGGTGCACGTGAGCGTGCATGGGTGTGCATCTCTGGGTGTCCATGAGCTTGTGTGTGTGTAAATGTGCACATGCCTGAGTGTGCGAATGCACGTGCGTAAGACTCTACAAGTACCAGTGGGAGACCTCGGTCCGGTGTCCGTGTAAGAGAGGGAGGAAAAAACTTGGGGGGGGAGTCAAGGCCGGATGAGGAGCCCCAGGAGGAGGCCGTGTGGGCATGAAGGCTGGTGACTACTCCGCTAGCTCTTGCCCTGATTTCAGCAGGATCCTGTCCCCCGCGTGCTGCCGTGGGGAGGCGTTTCCTGGACAGGCTCTAACACAAGGAGGCAAACTGGCTTGGGGACCTCATCTGAGTCAGGCCTGGGTGCCCTCGAAGAGGCACACCCCGGTCATGGTGCATCCAAAGCTGATCTGAATGCTGGAACGCTGGTGCTTCTCCTTGGGTTCCATATGCAGCTCCGGCAGGGGAGAGTGGTCTAGTGGTTAGAACAGGGGCCATTGGGAGGCAGGACTCCTGGGTTGCACTCCCCCATTCTGCCCATGCCCCCGCCTTTGTGATTTTGGGCGAGCCCCTTCCGTCCCTCTGTGCCCCCAGCTGCAAAGCCCGCAAGTGTATCGGTTACCCCGAACCATTTGCAGATTCCTCGCTCGAATCAGCCCAGCTCTGCAGGTCGCTCACACGATCCGCCTTTCTCCCGGGGAGCGAGGGCCGTGCACGCGGGAGCTGGTCTGGCTCGCTGGGAGGGCACCCGCGCAAAAGGCGGGTGTGCAGGGCCATGAGGAACCCGGCCTGGTGTGGCCGGGCACCAGCAGTCGCCCCTGTAGAAAGCAAATACGAGAGGGGCCTGATCGCAGCCGAGTCAGATCGCCCGTCGCAGTCTTCACCCAGCTCTGCTCTTTGCTCCCTGCCTGGGCGCAGCCTGCAGTGCCTGGTGCCCCCACGTGCTCCCCCGAGGCACCAAGCTGCCAAGAGGCCATGCCACCCTTTTGCAAGGAAATCAGAGCAGCCCTGTGGACTGGGAGGCACGGGGGCTGCGGGCTTTGATGGAGGTGATGGTGGGAGGGCTTTGGTGGCAACGAAAGGATAGTCATGGGGGGGCGTCTGTCCGCCGTGTCCCCAGGCAAAGGGCAGCGAGGACAGCAGTAGCTGGGCGTGGGAGGCGGATGCGCAGCGATTTCCCTGCCCCGGGGATCAGCCACTCTGCAAACCCTGGCAGGGTAGCCCTGTGCGATGGGGCGGGCTGCTTCCCCACTGGGGGTGCTAATGTCCGCATCTCAGAGGAGCTCGGCAGCCCTCCACCCAGGCAGCTGGATTCTCCAGAGTGCTCAGACCCCAATACCCCTGAGCTTGGGGCGGGGGGAACCCCAGCCCCACGTGTCTAAGGCAGCTTGGGCCAAGCGGTTCCCAGCTGCAGCCAGGGGGAGAGCGTGAGATGAGCCTGTGGATTTGGGAGGGGCGGCGGGGGGGGGGGGCTGAAATGGACGTTGGTGTGCGTCTCTTCTCTGAACACTCTCTTTCTCCCCCTGTTCCACCCTCTCCCTCCTCTTTGTCCCTGGCTGGGACCCTGCCCCTCCATCCCTTTGTCTTCCATGCCTTCCTTCTCTCTTTCTTTCCTCCCTCCCTGCTCTGTGCCATTCGCTCTCTCCCAACCCCCTGTGCTCCTTGTCCCTCCTTGCGTCCCCCACCGCCCTGTCCGTCTGTCTGCGCTCTCTCTCTCTCGCTCTCTCTCCCACTTCTCCGCCCCCTGTTCTCTCTTTCACTCCCAGATTTTAATGATGTGATTCCAGAGACCCAGAGGCTGGACAGCAGTTTGCAGAAGGCCCGAGCCCAGCTGTCGGCCAAGGGTAGGCGGCACCGCCCGTCCCGGTCCCGCTTGAGAGACAGCGTCAGCTCGGCGGAAGGGGACGAGAGCCTGGAGAGGAAGGTGAGCCCGGGCTCGGGCCGGGGGCCGGCTGCGTTGTTCCACGCGAGGCGAACCGGGCGTTCACGAGCTGACTGTCGCCCCGGGTCGAAGGAGACCATCCCCAAGCCCTGCACCCAGAATGGCTGCTCCCGCTCCTCTCTCTTGGGCTCAGGGCCTGTGCCTCAGGAACTAGGCTTCTGCCCCGCTGGATCGGACCATGGGTCCATCAAATCCGCCATCCTGCCAGGTGCTGGCCTGCCCGGTGGGGTCTCCTGCCCCCTGCCCCCAGCAGGCCAGATTCTGGTGCAGTAGCCAATGGCCAGTGACTAATGCTTCAGCGGGGCGGCCCGTGAGCCTGTACAAGCCCAGAGCTCGGCAGGGCCCCGGACGGGACCTGGATCCGGAGAACAAGACTCTGCAGAGTGACTGGGAGGGGCTATAAACCATCCTGCTTCAGGGCAGGAGCTGAGCTTGAGCAGATGGGGGTCAGGAGGGAAGAGTCCTGAAGGGGGGGGCGGGCTGCTCCAGAACTGGTTTCTGCGCCGGGCTGCGGCTGCAGGCAGGTGACTGGGTTTGATCAACGAGTGGCCCGATCCAACGGGGGGTGAGAGGGGTTACGAGATGAGATGGATCAGTGCTCTGATCCAGTGGGGCAGGGGAGGGAGGGGGATACCAGCAATGGTCTGATCCAGTGTAGCGGGCAGAGGGGGATACCAGCAATGGTCTGATCCAGTGTAGCGGGCGGAGGGGGATACCAACAATGGTCTGACCCAACATGGCAGGCGGAGGGGGATACCAACAATGGTCTGATCCAACATGGCAGGTGGATGGGGCTCTGGGCTGGGGCAGGGAGTTGGGGTGCGGGAGGGAATGAATGGTGCGGACTCCAGCTGGGCGGCACTTACCTCGGGCGGCTCCCGGAAGTGGCTGGCATGTCCGGCTCCTACGCTCAGGATTGGCCAGGCGGCTCTGCATGCTGCACCTACCTGCAGCTTCGATTGGCCACAGTTCTTGGCCAATGGGAGCCGCGGCATTGACACTCAGGCAGGAGGCAGTGCACGGAGACCCACGGCTGCCCCTGTGCCTAGGAGCTGGACATGCCAGCTGTTTCCTGGAGCGGCATGGAACCAGGGCCGGTAGGCAGCCTGCCTTAGCCCCGCCGACTGGACTTTGCCCTATTAAAATCTCCCGGTTTTAATGGTCACCGGGAGATAGAGGCTGATTCCGGGAGACTCCTGGCCAATCCAGCAATGGTCTGATGCAATGGGGCAGGAGGAGGGGATACCAGCAATGCTTGGATGCAGTGGGGCAGGAGGAGGGGATACCAACAATGGTCTGGTCCAGTGGAGCAGGAGCGGGGATACCAGACTAGATGCCCAGTGGCCTGTTCTATGGTGACAAGCCCTGTGCACCTGGGTGCTACGTAGGGTTGCCAACTTTCTAATGGCCGAAAACGGAATACCCTTGTCCCGCCCCCGGCCCCACCTCTTCCCCGGGGCCCCGCCCCTCCCTCCTCTCCACCCCCGCCCCGGGACTCACCTGCTGGGTGCAGAGCCAGGCTGGGAGGAGCTGACGGGGAGCCTGCCCAATCGGGGCAGAGTGGGGGTCGGTCCCCGTAGTTAGGGGCCAAGCAATCGGGGCACGGTGGAGCAAAAGGGGAGTGGCCAAGATCCCCCCACCGCACTTGCAGCCCGGGCTGGAAGCCAGCCACTGCTGTCTGTCCCGCATCACCAGCGGAGCAGAGACCCGCCCCTCCACGTGGCTCCAGCCGCAGCGGCTGCTCTTCCCACCCCCCACCCCCCGGTGGCGAAGTCCGGTTACTGCAGCCAACCGGACTTTCCACCAGGTTCCCTTTCTCCACCGGCCGTTCGGGTCGAAAACCGGACACCTGGCAACCTCTATGGAAGGCGCGGCCCATGGAGGCTCAGCTCCCTGATCAGCCCATAGCGATGGTCCCTGCGGGTCCGGGTTGGAGCTCACCAGTGGCAGGGGGGAGCAGCTCACCCTGTCCCTGCACCAGCACTGCGGATAAATGGGGGGCATCACTGTGGTGTGTCGGTCAATGCAGCAGCTCCCGGGGGCGGGGGTTCCCAGGGTCTTTCCTGTTGCTGACACCCGTGCCTCCCACCCATAGGTGGCCGATAAATCTGGCAGCCCGCGGCGCCGTATGAGATCCCCGCTGCACGCCACCCTGCAGGTCTCCTCTCCCCTCTCCGGCTCCTCCCCCTTCCTCCGCGCCACCGAGTTCTCCTTCGACGCCTCCGTGGTCAGGCGGACGCTGGAGGAGGACGAGCAGCCTTCGTCCCCGCTGATCCGCTACCGGCCCCTGACCAACGCTTCCTCCCAGGAGGCCTTGGGATGCACCCCCACCAGCTCGCCCCCCAAGTCCTGCCACAGCTCGGACAGCTCGCCCATCTACGCCCGGAGGGATCGCCGGGCAGAGCGGCACAGCGAAGGTAATGGCTGGATGGGGGAGCCACATCCGCACAGGAAACCCTTCCATAGCATTCCCGGCCCTGCTCCCTACGGCGCCTCCTGCTGGGAGAGGCTGGGGCTGCGGTCGCTGGCAGCTCTCCCCACAGCCAGGGCCCCTGCACCTTTCTCTGCAGCAGGGCTGTGCAGTGCCCTAGCTAACAGCGCGGCCCCTCTGGGCTGGGTCATGGGCTGCAGTGCCAAGTCCCAGTTGGTTCCCGGTGGTTTTGCCAGGCAGCACTGAGGTTCAGACCCATCCAGTGGCCCCAGCAGGGCTGGGGCTCGGGTAGCCCATTTTAACCTGGATAAAGACAGAGCTGGGCTTTGCCTGTGCTTGGGAAGGGAAAACACTTTCTCGCTGAGCTGGCAAACACCCCAGGGCTCCCAGGCTTTCCCTTAAACTGGCCTGGGAGCTCCTTTGGCAGGACCCTGCTGGGGGGGCCGCTGCAACCTCCGAGGGATCCCTGGGGCCTATCCCCACCTGCCCGGGGTACGTTCTCCCAGCTCCTTTGATCTCTCCCGGCATGTTTCTCTGCCCCAGATGACACAAGTCCGCCAGAGCCCGCCAGCCCCACCATTGGGCTTGACAAGAAGACCCGGAGGAAGTTCCTGGATTTGGGGTGAGTCCCACGAACTCTGGAGTGGAAGCCCCAGCTCTCTGGGTAGGACTCACGTAACCATTGGTTCCCTGGATGTCTAAGCTCCATGTTGCTGTCCTCAGTATGCTCCATGAACCCCCACATCACCCGGGGACCTGGGGAGGTCAAGGTGGGGTGGATGGATAGTTAGATAGAAGGGCATGTATGGGGAGGGACAGACAGACAGACAGATAGATGGATAAATAGAAGGGTATGTATGGGGATGGATGGATGGATGGATGGATGGATAGAGGTGTGCGGGGGATAGATAGACGGATGGATGAAACATGTGTATGGGGACAGACAGACAGATGGAGGCAAGAGTATGGGGACAAATGGATGGTGTGACACTCTATACCTCAGGGGAGCACCCTGTAACCCTCATATTCCTCACTTATATATAATTGTGATCTTACATATAAAGCATGCCATGAAAGGTATCAGGGGAAAGGTTATGATCTGCAGGAAGTCACTGTTCTGTCTAAAGATGTATACCATTAGTGCATATGAAGTTATGAGATTGTGTCGTTGGTTGTCAGTAAAACATGCTATAAATTGGGGAATCGGCCAGATATTAGCTCCCCAGAGACAACAGCCAGGAAAGTAACCAACGCCCGGGCGGGTGTCAAACAACCATCACCAGCCATTGTCCAGCAAGGGAGCTACAATTCAGTGACTCACTTGCACAAGGCCACACCAAGGGAATTGCTCAACCTTGCCTGGGGACTCTGCAGTGCCCCCAGGCATGCCTGGACTTGTGTTCTCCCAGCACATGGACTAAGAGTATAAAATAGAACACAGGGGCCTCATGCTTGATCTTTTCTCCTGCCCCCACCTTTGCTACAAGCAACAAGGATGCTCAGAAGACTTAAGACTCCAAGAGAGGAAACTGGCCCAGGTTTCAAGGGTGAAACCTGTGTACTATGAACTGCAGTATCCAGTGGGGTGAGAAAAACTGCTCCAGCTAGATGTTGCCCAGTCTAACAGAGTTGAGAGCGTAGACTGCGGGCTCATATTTTCTTTTGGTAACAAACTGACTTTTTGCCTATCACTTATAATCACTTAAAATCTACCTTTTGTAGTCAATAAACTTGTTTTACTGTTTATCTTTACCAGTGAGTTTGCCTGAAGAGTTTGATAAATCTGCGCAGGTTTTCAAAGGCTGGTGTATGTCCACTTTCCATTGATGAAGTGGGGAACCAATTAATAAACTTGCACTGCTCATCCTGAGCAGTGCAAGACAGCATATTCCTGAGGTACATGGCTGGGAGCTGGGGGGATTTGGCTGGTGCCTTTCTCTGTGAGATTCATGAGTGGCTCTGGGAGCATTCATGCAATCTAGCTGGATGGGGGGGGCTCCACATGCTGTTGTGCTGAGTCATCACAGCACCTGGTGGGGTTTGCTGCTTGTCACTAGCAAGGCATTGTGAGAGACAGCCCGGGCTGGAGAGTTAAGGGGGCACAGTGGTCCCACAGTCCCAGGCTGCACCCTGGGCTTCCCATCACAGATGGATAGAAGGATGTGTATGAGGAAGAATGGATAGAGGGGTGTGTATGGGAATAGATAGATAGATAGATGGGTGTGTATGGGGATGGATGGATGGATGGATGGCTAGAGGGGTGTGTGTGGGGGGACAGACAGATGGATGGCTAGAGGGGTGTGTATGGGGATGGATGGATAGAAGTGTGGGGATGGACGGACAGACAGACAGACGGATAGAGGGGTGTGTATGGGGTTTGGATGGATCGATAGAGGTGTGGGGAGGACAGACGGATGGATAGAGGGGTTTATATGGGATGGATGGATGGACGGATAGAGGGGTGTATATGGGGTTTGGATGGATAGATTCTATGCTGTATGTCTGAATTTTTCTTTTCATCCTGCTGCCCTGTCCTCACCCTCCTCTGATCTGCCCCCCATGTTGTTTCCTAGTGCCTGGTGCCCATCTCTCCCCAGCCCATAGGCGCCCCTACCCCCCATCACACCTCTAACGAGCCTCCTTTGTCTCTGCTGCAGGGTGACCCTGAGACGAGCCTCTTCCAGCAAAAGCAGGAAAGAGAAGGGGAGCAACCGGTTGTCCATGGGCAGCAGGTGGGGAGCTGCCAGCCTCCCCCAAATTCTGAGAGTCTCACAAGCCACAGCCAAGCAACATTTCCCTGAACCCCACGATCACCCCCACCCCTGCCCGCCCCACCTTTCTCAGTGTGTCCCATTCACCCACTTGGCTTTTCTATAGCCAGGGGGCACTCGGCCCTCCCGAGGAGAGCACCCACCCCTCTGCCCTGGAGATCAAGGAGCTCAGCCTGGTCTCCAAAGACCCGGGTGACTTGTTAAGAGTCCGGGTGCAGCTGAGACCCGGAGAGGGAGAGGGAGAGCGAGGTGCAGATGGGATAATGGGTTCACTGTCAGTGATGGAGCTGGGGTGCACGGAGCCATAAGGAGATGGACGGAGAGCACTAGCTACGCTCCAGACGGAGAGAGAAGAGACTGGCAGAGGCGAGATGAAGGAAGCAGGGAGATAGAGGACTGTGGGGATGGTCTGGGTGCCCTGGGTAGATCCAGACCCGGGCTGGGTCCTGCTGCGGTTCTGTTCAGTGGGGTGGAGTCTGGCCATGTCTGGAGGCTCGGATGCTCCGGGGAGCATGGCCCCCATGGTGGGCCGAGGGGAGCGAGGGTGCTAACCCGACTGCCGGCTCATTCCCCAGGGAGCTGGTGGAGGGCTCCAGCCGCTCATCCGTGTCCCCGTTCATGCCCTTCTCCTGGTTCACGGACAGTGGGAAGGGCTCGGCCTCATCCGGCAGCACCGTCTCCCCGACCCGCTCGCCCAAGAGGGAGGGCTTAAGCCCCAAGAAATCTGCCTCCCAGGTCAGTACCCATCCCCACCTCACCCTATAGGGCCAGGAGCAATGCTGCCCTGGGATGGGGCTGAGCCCTTGTAGGGCCAGGTGCAGCGCTGCCCTGGGGGTGGGGCCGATCCCCCTGTAGGGCCGGGGGCAGGCCATAGTCCTGCCATGACCCTTTGCAGGGTAGGCCCCTCGTTCACACGTTGGGTTACCAGCTGGCTGGTATTTGACCAGCTTGGCCGGTTTTTTTAATGGATTTGCCAGTGGCCAGAAGAATAATTTCACCTGCTGAGTATTTTGTACAAGGGTGAAAAGATTTGCATTATTCTCACCATGCGCTGGGCTAGCCAACGGTCAAAGTTTCTGGGCCCAGCTACAGATGCTGCAGGGGTCCCACGGCCGCAGTGTAAGTGAGAAAATGACGTTATCCATCTTGCCTCCCCGTGTTCTCCCTAGAGGCTGTACGTGGCTGTTGCGGGGGGTTGTGGAGTTGCCTTCGGGGAGGAGGGTGCCGGGTTTTTTGCATTGCGGAGGGGGGGACCCGACTCACGCCGTGGCCTTTCCCCGCGGGCAGGAATCCACCCTGGGCGACGACTGCACCCCACCCAGCAGCAGCCCCAAGACACTGAGCAGAGGCGCCAGTGAGATGAAATGCTCCTACCCCTACCACACCCTGTCCCAGTCCTCCGACGAGGTGAGCCCGCAGGGGGCGGCGGAGTGGGGGGGCAGCACGGAGGGGCCCCCGCCCTCCCGTTGCCAGAACCAGCCTGGAGGAGCCGGTTGGCCAAGTCCAACAACGAGAGGCCAGGGGGGCTTTCGCCGCTCCCCTCCTGGGCCCCAGGGCTGGGGTGACTCCGTCCGTGGGCCCCATGGAGTTGCAGAGCCTGCCCCCCCCCCCCATCGTGCCTTACAACCAGCCTTCCCCAGGCTGGGGGGGCGGGGGGGTTCTCAGGGCTGCCAGGTGTTGAAAAGGGAAACTGGCAGAGACGCTAGAAGTCCAGTTACCTGCAGTAACCGGCCACTGAGGGGCAGGAAGAGCAGCTGGAGCCTGGAGGGGGGGTCGGCAAGCAGCTGCTGCTCTCCCCGGCCCCCAGCCTGATGCAGAGAACGCGGAGGGACCGGTGCCATCAAGGGGGGGGTGTGTGTAACCTGTCTGCCCCCCACCCCAGCTGTGCCCCGATTTCCCCACTCCAGCCCCTCGCTCTGGGGACCCCCCCCGCTGTGCCCCAATTTCCCCACTCCAGCCCCTCACTCCGGGGAACCCCCCAGCTGTGCCTCAATTTCCCCAGCCCCTCACTCTGGGGATCCCCCTCCCCACCGTGCCCCGATTTCCCCATTCCAGCCCCTCACTCCGGGGACTGACCCCTGCCAGGCCCGGCTGTGCCCAGCCTGGGCAGGCTCCGGGTCAGTTCCTCCCAGCCCAGCTCTGCAGGCCGCAGGTGAGTCCTGGGAGATGTGGGAGTGAGCGACGGGGGAGGGGGTGGACAGCGAGCAACGCGGGGGGGCGGGGGGAACAGGCGGGGCATGGGGCGGGGCCTCAGGGGAAGGGGTGGGGCAGGGGGTGGGGCCTCATGGGGAAGGGGCGGGGCAGAGGTGTTCCATTTTCAGGGATTAGAAAGTGGGCCCAGGAAGGAGGGCTGGGAGGAACTTCTGAAGGCTCCCTGCTGGGGCGCCCCGACGGAGCGGGGTGGGGGTGCTCACCCCTCCCCCCCCCCTTTCTGCCCCCTGCAGTTCCTGGAGGAGCCCCTCAGCACCGCCACCAGCTGGAGCAGCCAGCAAGTGGGCCAGTGGCTGGAGAGCCTGAACCTGGAGCAGTACGTGGGCGAGTTCGTGGCCCGCGAGGTGGACGGCCAGCAGCTGCTGCACCTGGATGGAGCCAAGCTGAAGGTAGGGGTGGGGGGGCCTGCCCCGCGGCTGCTGGGTCCTGCTGCGAGTGGGGCTCCGGGGTCGGCCCTTGCGCCCTGCAGAGGTGCCTCCCGCCGGGGGTCTTGGGGAGGCATTGCCTTGCCCCAGCAAGGTGGACCAATCCCTTTGATGTCCTGGGGGATGGATTGATCCAGAGGCTCCTGGCCTGATGCACTGGGGCGGGAGGGGGGGATGCTGGACTGGGGGCCCTGATGGCCCAACGGATACTGAGCTAGACGGGCCAGCCGCGCATCCCACCGGGCTACTCGACGCAGGGGCTGGGGACGGAGTTCATCCATTTCCCCCTTCGGTAGCCATCCCATTCAGGAGCCCCCGGCACCCTCCGCTGGAGCCCGTCTCTCCCCAGCCGGGTGCTGCTGTCCAGGCGGGTGGGGGTGGGAAGGGCCGTGGTTGTGACCATGAGGCACACCCTCCCCGTTGCCTCCTCCAGGCCCTGGGCGTCGGCAGCTCCACTGACCGGGCCCTGCTGAAGCGGAAGCTGAAGGACCTGAGCGTGGCGGTGGAGAAGGAGCGGAAAGCCCAGGAGAAGGTGGAGAAGCAGAGGGAGAAGCAGAAACAGAAGAAGAAAGAGCAGGAGCAGCAACGGAGGAGTTAGGGAGGGCGAGTTGGCACACGGCTCCCGGCGCGGGGAGGGACAGAAGGAGACCGCCCCCCGCCCAGGCGAGGGGGAATCAGGGGCACATGGACCGGGAGAGACACCGGACCCAACAGGGGATTAGCCTAGGTGCCAGTCTTTGGCTCGGGGCGGCACCACCATGGAGCCCGGACCTTCCAGCGGCCTCCTGGATCCCTGCTGGCCCCAGTAGACAAGCAAACCCCTCCCCCACTCTGCCCCTCCTCTCCGCCACGCACGGGGGCTCCTGGCACTACTGGGCCTGGCCCCACAGCTGGCTAGCGGTTGGCACCCGCCCGTGGGCCGCAGCTGGCGCGGCTTCCCCTTCCCAGCTTCCCCGCTGACCTCCGTCTGCTCCCGATCGGTTCCAGTCACCAAGGCGCCTTCCTGCTCCATGCTGATCGGCTGTCCTACCTCACCGGCCCCGTTTCCATTAGCACCACTGCTGCTCCCCACTCACTCCCGAAAACGACGGCTCGGCCCCAACAGGCCCGCAGGATGAAGATAGTGCATGGCATTACCCCTCCCCCCCCACCCACAAGCAATCCTGGGTTGCACTCAGGGGCCCGGGGCACCCTCCAGGGGCCAGGATCGACACAGCCCGGACTAGCAGGGCCCGGCCAATGTACTCCGAGAGCACAGACACCGACCCAGGGAGAAACCACGAAGGAAATAAAACCGATTGCAACCAGCCCCCCTGGGGTCTGCTCTGCGCTACGCAACACCGCCTCCCCCCCACCCCGCCACGTTCCACAGGCTGGGGGCTGGGAATGGAGCGGGGAGGGGCCTGGAGGGGCGATCTGCCCTGGGAAGCAAATTAGGCCCTTGTTTGCTTCTCTAGGGCGGCTGAAGAGTGCGGGGAGGAAGTGGGTGAGGCTGGATTCTCAGGGGCAGGAGCATCCTCCACCCCTAGGGGTTGCTTCTCCCTGCTTCTGCTCTGCTCGTGGGAACACTGGGGTCCAGTCAAAGCACGAGGAGGGTGGAGAACTAGCGGGAGCCAGGCCTCTGAAGCCCGGGTGGTTGAGAAGGGATTTTTAGTCAGGCTCGTCGAATTACTGTTATTTCCTCCCTCGCCTCTAGTAACTCCAATGCCTACCCCACCTTGGGGAGAAAGGACTTCTTTGTTAATGCGCGGCACCTCCCAACCCCTCCAGCTAAGGGAGCAGAACTCCTGCGATAGGGCAGCTGTGGCGTGTCAGCCCCTAACCTTTGGTGCTTGCGGTACCAGAACCAAACCATGGTCCCTGCCCTGAGGCGCTGCCTGGTGCAGTGGAAGACAAGAGGTGCACAGAGACCGGGCAGTGTAAGTCAGCCGTGGGCAGCAGGCCAGGCATTGGTCTCAGGGCACCAGGAGCCTGACCCTTGTGAGTGCCCAGGGGAATTTTAAGGCGGGGAATGATGCAGCGTTGTGACTGCCGATGGGACGTGCCACCCGAACCAGGGGGCAGCAAGGGGCTGGTTTGACAGTTCCGCTGGTGGGCGCCGGAGGCTGGGCTGATCTGAGGCGGTGGAGAAGGAGAGATGCCAGAGGAGGGAGCAGGCAGGCCCTTGACACTGAGAAGAAGGAGCAGCTGGTGGCTGTGATGGTGAAGGGGTAGCCGGAGGCTCCATTGCAGGGGCAGAGGGGCTGCTCGGAGGGAGGGGGAGTGCCTGAGACAGTTGCACTGTGCCAGCTGGCTCCCACCCCTCCCACGCAGACAGCAAAGCCCCTGGAGGGGGATGGAGCTGTGTGTGACCTGGCCCTTCGGGGACGGGGGTACAAAGAAGTCTAATATTCAGCTCCCCCACCAGGCTAGGTAGTCCGCTGCCATGGCTTGGGGCCATTCAGCATCCCCACCCCAGGGCGAAGGGCCCTGCTGCCAGCATGGAGGTTGCAAAGGGCCAGATCCCACCCCACAAACCCTGCTTAATCCCATGCAGTGGGCCAGGCCCCTCCGTCTCCCTGGGGGTGGCGGGGGGGGCTGGGAAGGGCAGCCCCCGCCAGGATGTGTGGATGGGTTGGCCCTGGGGGCCCACGCACCCCTCCCACTGTGCTGTGGCCATGAGCTGCGATTACAGAAGAGGGTGGGGTGGGGGTTTCATTCTGGCTGGAGCAAGCGGGGCACTCCTGAGCTGCCCAGCTGGGTGGGGAGGGGGTGCCCTTGAGCCCTGGGGTGGGGGGCGTTTGTCAAGGTGCTTAACTAATGGTGTGTGGGGAGGGAGGTAATTCAGCCCTGCAAGGACGGGGGCTAAGGCAGATGTGCCCACCCCATGGGTGGGGGCGGGGGGGTGTGTCAATGGGTAGCATCATTTCCCAGCACCCAGAGGCCACCGCTCTGGGAGCGACACCAGCAGCCCTACTTTGGGGTGGCCCTTCCCCCAGGCACAAAGGTGCGGGGGGGGGGGGTCCCAAGGGCTGGACCAGGCTGCGACACATGGGCCGGGGGTGGAGGGAGAGCAGGAGCCCCTCTCCCGTGCACCCTGAGGGGGTTGCAGGAACCAGCCGCGGGCCTTGACCCGGCCCTGCAGCCTCCTGCTCTGGGTGGCCGCCGTGTCTCCCCTGGGGGCTGGCGCGGCCAGGGCGAGGGGAGCCAGAGGGGAAGCGGGGCTTACAGCAGCCCCCGGTACCCTGGGGCAGGTGGGTAAGGAGGAAGCAGGGCCAGGGATGGGGGCGGGGGGAGGGGCATCAGCGCTGCAGGGGCCTGGCTGCATTTCAATAGCAGCCCCCCCCCATCGCCAGGGCCAAGTCCACCGAGCTAAAATACTCATGGACCAGTGACTTTAAAGCAAGCTGGTCTCTCGGCCTAGCAGGGGGGCCTGCAGGACCCCACACCCGCCACGAGAGGGCGGGGCGCTCTCAGCAAGGCTGAGCGAAAACACAGGCCCCTCTGAAGCCATGTAATTAGGATCTGCCTGGGGGTGCGTAGGGTGCAGGGCCCCCCCCCCCCGCCAGTCAGGGCCCGGCTCCCCATTGTGCTGGGCGCTGCATACACGCAGCCCGAAGGGGCAGTCAGTGCCCGTTAAATAGAAGAAGGGTTGCTGGGGGGAATGCAGGCAGTGGTGACCCCCGCCCCCAACCCTGCAGCCTTGTGCTGGGGTCCAAGAGCCCGGGTAAGAACAGGGGCAGGGGTGTGGGGCGGCAGGACACCTGGTTCTATTCCTGGCCCTGGGCAGGAGTGTGGTCTACCGGTCAGAGCCAAGGGGGCAGGGGGTGTGTTCTAGAAATCAGGACTCCTGGGTTCTTTTCACGACCCCACCCTGGCTGCGCAGCCGTCCCTTTTCGGAGCCCACGGTGCCCTTGCTGGCAAAGGGGGCTAATGTTTGCCAGAGGGGCGTGTTCAGCACCTGAGCAGTGAAAAGCTTTGGGCTACCTGAAGCCTTTGGCTTAAAACAGAGGCCGGCAGGGGAGCGGTCATGCCCGCCTGTGAGACACAGCAGTGCAGGCTGGAGATGCTGTAATGGGCCTTCTGGGGCTGAAAACCCTCTGACAGCGGTAGGGGTGCGGAGGCGAGGTCGGGGGGGGGGGGGGGGGGGCTCATGTTTATTAAACCCACCCCGGTCCTTAAATCCTGTGCACAGGCCGGGGCAGTGTTACTCACTGGGGAGCTACGGTTCTGCTCCCCTGAAACACCACGATCTGTTGTTCGTACCTCATCTCAGCCGCCAAAAGCCCCAAGCTGGACCGGATCCTTTGAACTGCCCCCCGCTATGGCTGGCCCTCTGCAGGGGCAGCCGTGGTCCCTTGCAACCCCCCATGCCCGGTGCCGGGCTCTCCCAGCTCAGGAGCACAATGCCCCACTTATTTTAGGAAACTCTGCCTGGAGATCGCAGCCGGGCCCACGCCCCGGTTTAGCAATAAGCAGCCTTTGGCCTAGTGGGCGCCGCTCCAGACCCGCGCGGGGGTGGGGACTGCCAGCTGCTTTTTCCCTTCTTAGGGCGGTGACTCAAGGCTGCATTCTCACCCCGCTGTAACCTCCATCCCTAACACCAGGGGTGTGTGTGTGTGTGTGTGTGAGAGAGACACTGCGGGCCCCCACCCCAGACTCAGCCGCTCCGTTCTGCCGGGGGCAGCAGGGGCCACCCCGCTCAGCCGGGGCTGTAAAGGGGATTTTAAGTCTTTTAGTTAAAATAAAGGCACCCTTAGGTTGCAACGCCCTTCCCACCAGCAAGAGCAGTGGCTGGGGGCATTTCCCCAGCCCCTCCAGAGAAGGGGGAGAGCCCCAGATCCAATCCCCCCCCCGCCCAAGGCATTCCCTCAGGGCTGCGCTACACACAAGCTGGGCCTCTTTAACTGTACAACTTTCATTACAGCAATTTGCTCCCCCCTGTCCCCCCCCCCAGACAGGGTGGTGCTGATCCAGTGCCGTAAAGGTGCTTTAGCCTGGTACACATGGCAGGGACGCCGCAATACTGGAATGGGGCACTTTGAGGCTGGTATAACCGCACCCACACTAGCCTAGTAATAAAAACCTCACATGCTGGGTACGGGGGGGGGGGGGGCAGGCCCCCGTGCATATCAGGGCCCCACAGGAGTGAAGGGAAACCTGCCACAGCCAACGGAGCTGGTCCCATGGACGGGGCTCACCTTTGCTCCCCCCACACCCCTCCCCTCCCGCCGGCTGGTAAGCCCGAGGCTGCGCTCAACCGCCCGTAGCAGGCGGCTGCCAAGAAGGGGCCCCAGGTGAAACCCGACCTGGGAACCTGCAGCCTCGTTTTAGGGCCGGGCGCCCGCTGTTCTATGGTCAACCCCTTGACTGAAGGTCACCCGCTGGGGTGATCTGCGGAGCGAGCCCTTCTCCCCAAGGAAGCTGGGTCCAGGGAGGCCAATGGGGAGAGGATGCAGAGCAGCTGGCTTGTACATGGCCCTGCTCCCAACTTGGGGATCCAGGAGTCACTAGGTCTGCAGACGCAGAGCCTGCCAGCCCTCCCTCCCGCTCTGCCATTGGGTGACTGCTCACACAGTACATGCCACCTCCCGGCTCCTGGGGTTTCCCCTCCCGCTCAGCTGGGCGGGAGTCCTCCCAAGGGCACAGAGGAGGTGGTTTCCAGGGTTTGAAAGGCAGAGTCAGCTCCCCGCAGCTTTGCATCAACACGGCAGCTGCGCGCTGGGCAAGGGAATCCGTGCTCTCTGCTGCTCCAGATTCAGGCCTCAGCTCTTTCCCCTCCCACCCGGCTGCTTGGGCCCAGCCAAGGGGTTGCCAGAAGCAGAGGTGCCTGTGTGGGACCCTGCAGCGGCAGGATAAACAAGGCCCTGGAGCACTCTGCAGAGCCACATAGCTCAGGACCAAGCAGACAGGGAAATCTGACCTACAGGTCAGTGCCCTGCAGAGAGCAGCATGCGGCCATAGCCTGCATGGTGCCGCTCGGGGAAGCAGGACTCCTGGGTTCCATTCCCAGCTCTGCCAGCGACACCCAGTGCCCCCTTGGGAATATCGTTCCATGCTTGCTAGGAAAAAGGTCCCTTGGGCCAGGGGATCTCAAAGCACTATGGGAAGCTGAGTGTCGTCATACTGATGATAAACTGAGGCAGAGATCGGGCCAGTGACTTACCCGTGGTCACACAGCAAGTCAGTGGCCGAGCTGGGGACCCAGGAGTCCTAGTAGTATTATACTACAGGAGCATTGAGGTCCCATTGTGCTGGGAGCTGCATAGACCCTGCTCTGAAGAGCTTACAATCTAAATAAACACAGATAAGGTGGGAGGGGAAACTGAGGCACGGGGCAGCGATATGATTTGCCCAAGCTCACCCAGCAGTGCTGCGAATAGAACCCAGGCCTCCTGCTGCCCAGTTCAGTGCTCCATCCAGTGTGAAAGACTACTTAACTTACAGATATTTGAAAGGGCTAATTGGCTGGAGAGGTGATGGGATCCAGTTTTAACACTCAACTTACTGAGCGGGTTGGGCCCATGCAGAAGGCAGGATGCGAAATCCACTGCCGGGCGGCGTTGTTCGCTGCACGCTGGGACCCCGCAAAGTGCAAAGAAAACAACACCAATGCCAGGCCGGTTTTGGTCAATGTCATCTTTATGGATCAACAATGGGATGAACGCCCATGACTTAACCCACCGTGTCTGGGGCAGAAACAGGGTTCCGCCCACAGCATATATATATCTGTGCAGATCCTTTCCAGAGTACATAAAAGCATGCCATGGAAATCAATCACACATGGGGCGTGCAGGGCAGTGGTGTGAAGACACGGGGAGCAGCTGGTGCCGAGGGGAGCTCCCCGAAAAAGACAGAGACACCTAACGGGTCAGGAAAGCGGGCGAGAGGCGGGCAGAGAGAACAGGGCACCTCCAGAGCCCAGGCCTCACACAACACCGAAGAAGTTACAATCCCTCCGACCCTCACCAGATCAGCACCTGCCTTTGCCTTGCAGAGCAAACTCATCCAGCTCGCCTCAGACCGTTCCGTCTTCCAGCCAGCGCCAAGCAGCGGGTATGGCAGCCAGTGGGAACGGGTCCCGAGTTCTGACAGACCCGGCGGACAGCGGCTCTGAGCTGGAAAGAGGCACCGTAATGCCTCGTGTTTAAACACAGCCGAGAGAGAGAGATGGCTGCTGCACCCCATCTGGGGGGACCCCACTGCAAACTCCTCCCCCAGGCAACAAGGGGAACTGTTCTTGCCCCATGTGGCTGTTCTAATGCCTACCCCTACCCAAGCAGGGGAGCATTGAGGACAGCCTCCTCCCTTTCCCTTTGATGCCATCCCACTGTCCCAGCTCAGAAAAGGGCAACCCTGGCACCTCCCAGCAGCTCCCTAGGCCACACGCCCCTAAGCATGGAGGCCCCCTCACTCCTTGCACCTCCCCCGCCCCACTCACAACACACCTGACTCTCCTCACACCTCCCCCCACAGGTGCTCCAGCCCTGGCTCCCAACTCCCCCAGCCTAACAGACCGAGTCTGAGCCCGTGGCCCTCCTGGCTCTCTCTACAGGACCCCTGTCCACCCCACACCTGAACCTACAAGGCTTCCCCACCTGCCCCCTCCTCTCTCCCCATATTTGAAACTCTTCGGCCTGAGGGCTCGTTTCCCCCGTAACCATAAAAGCCGTCTCCACAGCCTGATTCCTGTCCTCCCCCTCCCAGTGGCAAGCAGAAGCAAAGAACAGATCTATGGTGAATAAAAGGATTATGGGTAAAACCCCCAACAACGGGAGATGCCCGGAGCCTGCCCGGCTCTCTTTAGGGTGAGGATGGGGGAGCCCAGCAGACGCCAGGCAGTGGTGGGCATGGGCTACTGCACGCTACATACCGTAAAAAGAAATCATTCACGCCCTGGGCGGAGCGTTAGCCAGACTGGTCAATAGGAAGAGTCCATCACTTGAGTTCTCCTAATGTGGTTTTTGTGATGTGGATAGATTCTCCGTCTCCAAGTGCCGCCAGCCGCGCCCGGGGGCCTAGGTCACCCTGTAGGTGGAGGTGTTCTTTGGTTCCGTACTTGGCACGCACCAGTCGTCTGCCTCCTGGATGGTCTGGTAGTGGCGCCAGGCCGACTTGTTATAGACTGGCAGCCTCTCCACGGACTCTGTCGACAAGGCCTGTGGGTAACCGCACGTCAGTGGACAGGAGAAGTGCTCTCTCTGCAGTGAATCGTAGCCCCAAGGCCCCATGGCCTCCAAGCATCCTCCCAATGGCACGGCCAGCCACTAGGAAGTATCCCTAGGAGACATCTGGTAGAATCTGGACAATGGTTCAAGACCAACCTCTGCCGTTTCCTGCCTGGTCCCTACTCAAGGCAGATTTCATGCCACGTGTTAGTCTGTAAAGTGCTTTGGAATTCTTCCGGACACAGGGCATCAGCAAAGTTCTGCCCTCTTCTGAAGCCTTCCATCCAAGAAACCCAGGAGTCCTGGCTCCCAGGTTCCTGCTCTGACTACTAGGCTCCCTTCATGATACAGGAGTTTGATATTAAAGACTGCTACTCAAACCCTATGATTCTTTGCCTCCATTTCCTGGCCACGAAGCTGGGGGAAGTGTGTGTGTTGGAATGCAGTTTGCATTCAGAGAGGGGCAGGCCGGGGGGAAGCAGTCTCTGCAGGTCAGATCTTGCATTTGTTTCCCCAGGGCTTTTAACTGGAGCTGGCTGAGAAAGGGAATCCTTTTCCCAAGGACATTTTCACATTTCTGAAAAAGTTTCATCTCGCATCGGGATGAAACGTCAAGTCCGTGAAATTTTTCACAGGGAAGGATTTAAAGACAGATTCCATTTTGGGACACCTGAAAGGGAATTTTCCCAGCTGCCCTCAGAGAAGGCTCTTGTCAATTTCACCTGTGAAACTGACAAGAGCCTTCCAAGCCCAGCTGCTGGAGGGGCAGAGAGCCAGAGGGCTCTGTCTCTCTGCCAACCCCCCAGCTCTAGGAGCCAGCAAGGGGCTGCCTGGCCCCCAGAGCTTGGGGTGGGGGAGGGGGGGAAGAGGCAGTGAAGCCTGCCTGTGTTTCAATAAAAGTTTTGTCAAATCTGTAACAGAATCAGTGAAACATTTCACTGAGTTTTGTCGGAAAACTTCCAACCTGCTCTACTTCTAACGCCTCACCGGCTCCCTCCACAAGGAAGATTTTAATCACGTCTCTGTGGATTTTTGCACGAGGGTCGGTCTGAATGCAGTACTTCTGATCCCCTGCCCATGCACCGGCTATGGACTGAAGCCAGGAGCAGTTGCATCAAGGGAGTGTCTATATACTGAGGTTAGCTACAGCTGGGTGAATAAAAACCACGAGTTTCTTTAATTGACCTAAATCCCAGTTTTTAAAAATGTTAATCATTTTTATTTGATGTGTTGCTGGTTCTTTACTTTCCCCCCATTTTAACTGGCTGAGGTGGATGTTTTGTATCTTCCCTTAATTAGCTTCCTGGTTGGTGATAGAATTTCAGGTTTGTCGAAGATTTTTTTTCTACTAAAGTTTCACACCCAAAATGTTCATCTGTGCTGAAAAAGACAGCACCAGGGCATCAACAGAGAACTGCAAACTCTGGCACAACAGCGGTAAGCAGATACCCCCGACTCTGTTTGCAGCCAATGCCACTTCCAATATATTGAACTCCCACAAGTCAAGAAAGCTGAAATGCTTCAACCAGGCTAATATGCCTCCAATGGGGTTTGAGGTCAATGGGACGTGCGTTCTTGAATTACGTAGGCTCTGGGATTTTTCCAAAGCACCTAACATTAGGCTCCTCTTTATTTTTGAAAACGTTGGCCTGTGTGTATAACAGAGACATTGAGAATATTTGCATTGTATTGAAAGTCGAAATAACTTTTCACAGTTCACACTGCAACAATTTTGTTCTGAACTGACAAAGATTTTGCGCAGTGTTGTTATAGCCTGGTCCTACACACTACATGTGGGGTTCCTCATGCAGGGCTTCAAATGTCCCACCAACCACCACGAGGGTTCTGAAACCAAACGATCACTACACTCTTGAATGAACTCATGCAGAAAAGTGATAAAAGACAAAACTACCATCCTTTCACAAAGTGATCACTCTAGATCTGATCTTTCAATACTCCTCCTCAAGGAAAATCTACACAACACCTTCAAAAGGTGAGCCTGCGACCTCAAATTCCTAATTCTGCTAGACACTCAAAACCATGGACTCCACAGAGTTTTATGGCTCATTATGACAATTTGTAACTCACCATACTACCTGGCTAAACCTTAATTGCCCGCTTCAACCCCCTTACGCTTAACAGCCAAACCCTCAATTGACAACTTCATTTCAAGTGGCCTCTACAACAATGGATACCCCTTATGCTTAACAATCTGTCCCAACTTGTATTTAGCTCAGACTCTGATCTCCTTCCCCAGGCCTGAAGAGCAGCTCTGTGTGGCTCTAAAGCATTTACCTTCCGTCAATGAAAGCTGATCTAATAAATGATACTACCTCCCCCACCTCGTCTCGCTCAAAAATGTTATGCCAATAAAATAAAAGTTTAATAAAGCTACAATATCAGCCCTGATGTGGCAAACGCTTAGGCATGTGCTTAACTGTAATCCCACTGACATCAACGAGACTAGGCATGTGAGTAGAGTTACGTACCTGCTTAAGCATTCGCAGGATCAGGGTCTTACATTTTCAGATTTTTTTGGCTTATAGACATTTTGTAAAATTCATGCGCAATACCCCTAATTGTAGCGGCACTGAAGGAAAACAACAGCGTTTACAATTTAGCTTGTGATAAAAAAAATTTAAAATTCACAGTTGCAATAGCAGACGTTTTCAAATGAGCTTTTACAAAAAGTCTTCACCCGATTGAAACCTGACTTGAAATGAGCTTTTACAAAAAGTCTTCACCCGATTGAAACCTGACTTGAATAGGATTATTAATATTTGAATATTTAGATTTAAATGATTTAATAGTAGTGTGACTTAAAACAGCTACTCACAAAGAGCGAAAAATCCCTGATGCAGACAAGCCCTGAGACTCCAGAGCTAGGAGTGTAAGGAGGAGTCGGTCAGTTACACATCACCTCTCAGCCTGACCCAGCATCCCAAGAACCCACTCCCATACCCACAGGCAGGGCCGACTCAGACCCAAGCTCCTGCTCCAGTGGCTAACTAAGTCACCCTGGCTACGTCACTGATCTTAGTCAAGAATTGATCCTGAACAGAGATACGTTTGGCTGAGAGACAAGATGAGCCTTTGGGGGTAGCTGTGAAGTGGCTAGGAACAGAATGAAACTAACCCACGTAAGTTTCACCAAGGAGGGACAGGATCAACAGGGACAAGTCTGTAAGATCTGGAGACTCCACCCACTGTCCCTGACATGGGGCAGGGATCATTTTCTTGTCTGTTACAAAGGAAGAGGAAAAGCCAGGGGCTGGGGACCGTCAGCAAACCCCTCCAGTGTAAGCACTTATCTCTGGTCCTCAGTGCAGTAGCATCTGCATGCCTCGCGAGCTTTCATTTATCTTCACTGCCCATACGTGAGGTCGGGCGGTGCCGCCGGCCCTGCATTACAGATGGCAATGAACTGAGACTCAGAGAGATTAAGGACGTGGCTACATGGGAAAGTTCTACTGGAACAAGCCAGTGTCTGAATTTAAACCAATGTAGTTATACTGGTATAACTCCTCATGGGGTCACACTTATTCCGGTATAAGAGCGTCCATATGGGGAATTATACCGGTATAGTCCTATTGGTGAGGCCAGGAAGACTTTCCTGTGTAGACAAGCCCTAAGGGACTTGCTCAATGTCACACAAGGAGTTTGCGGGAGAGCAGGAACGTGAATGCAGGCCTCCCAAGACCTAGGCGGGCCCACTAACCACTGGGACATCCTTTCTTCTAGATCCCCCACCTCCACATGGTGTGCTTGCCACTGACAGGACTGGGAGGCCTCAGGGGAGTGGCTGCCTGAACCCGCGGGTTTGAGAAGGAGAGACGCAGGGGGTGATTTACGCACCTTCAGGTAGATGACTGCATCTGTCCCAAAACCCTCCATGGAGAAGAGCTGAAGGTCCCCTTGGAAATACTTGGCATAGAGTCTGGAAATGGGCAGGCCGTAACCAAAGCCAGCCTGGTGGAGCAGGGAGAAGACGACAGGTGATTATGGTTGCAGAGGTCTCAGCGAACTGCCCGACCACCAGACCCTACTTCCCTCAACATCACTCCACCCAGAAATCAGGAACCCCCCAAACCCTCCTCCCACTCCTGGCTGTCACACGAAGGCCCTCCGCCATCATCACCAGGCGATCCAAGCAGATCAGTATTTGTGCAGGCTGCTTACTGGAATCCCTTGCACTCAGCTCTGGACAGGGAGGGTGGTTACCCGGAAGGACTTAGGGAATTCCGCCCACTCACCCACCTCCTCCACAGCCCCACAAAATCACCCTGACCAACGTGCTACCTGCAGGGACACCCGGGGGGGCCCGACTTGATCCGATACGTACCAGGGGTGTCCCGCCCGAGCCGGGCTGGGGGGTGGGCGCGGTGGAATACATGTAGCTGAAGAGCCGCTCGATCTTCCGCTGCGGAACCCCGCCACCTCGGTCGCTCATCTGTGCGATGGGACATCACGTCAGCAGCCCCTGGCGACTCCCCACATGCCTTGACCAGTGGTGTGCTAGCCACGCCCCCCCTCCCCACACACACACTCAGGGAGAAATCCCAGTAGCCCAGCAGTGCTTGCTGCTGGCTGATACACAGGAAGCATCAATAGGCCAAGAAAGGGTGCTCTGTCCAGCCCTCCCGACGGGAGGAAATGCCCCCGTGAGGCTGGGGGAGCAGGGAAAACAGCCTCAGGGTTCAAGCTGGAGGCTCCCAAGCAAGGACTGGCTACAGGCATCCCAGAGATGAGCCGCAGAGATGAGCTGCACTGGAGGAGGGAAGCTAGACAACATTTGGGGATGTGGGCTAAATACCCCCCCACACACATGCTCCCCAAAGTCTCAGGTCCAGGGTGACAGCAAGTCAGATAGTCAAACAGAACTCAGGGGGTCTGCTTGCCCAATCCCCTATTAGCCACTAGACCACATCCGCTCAGTCTACCTGCTGCACTGCAGAGAACTCCCAGGACAAAAGTGAGCTCCCTGGGGAATTAGCCTGTGCCCCACAGTACAGCTGATGCTGAGGGTCCCTTTCTATCCCTCGGACCTTCAGTCAGGCCACCTACCTTGATAGAAAGATCTTCTTTACCCAGTGCTACCATCACCTTGATGGTTGGGAGTCGGAGGCTGGACTCGTGACTCTCCACGGTGGCTCGCATGGCATTCTCCGAGGGAACAGAGAGAAGAAGCAAGTCATCAGGGATTTTATGATAGCCCCTCTGGCCTGGCCCCTGCCTGCCCTGATGCTTGAGGAAGGTACAAAGACCCCCCACAATGCACCTATTTGTGCAGTATTTGTAAGGGTAGGAAGTTCCTTCCTGACCCTGAGCCGGTCATCTGCAGATGCCCTGAAGCAGATGCCTGATGGTCCTGGACTTACCATTAGTCGATTCCTTCTTTAAAATGTTTAACTAAAGCTAGTTCCCTAGGCAAAAATACTGCAGAAATGAGTTCCACGGGTTAACACTGTGGATGGAAAAAGTGCTTTCCTTTACTCATCTCTTAACCAGAAGAAAAAGGTGACATATTCACAATCCCCTCCTGAAACATGGACTCCCTGGCCTCCACCTCACCCACCGCCAGAGGCAGGAGCTGGAAACTCCGGTGCCTACTATAGGGAACCATTGGTGGGTCTGGCAGACAGGATGCCAAGTTCCACCATGGTTCTCTCCAGCTTCGTCACCTCCTTGCGGAGCAAGGAGTGCTACAGGGGAAGGACCATAGAGCTGGGAGCCTTACCTTGAAGAGCTCAAAGAGCATGTGGTAGAGGTGAGACGGGACGTAGACAATGCGGATCGGCTGCTTGGAATTGTTGGCTACAAGGGAAAGAACACAGCGGTTGTAAGGGAAATGCTCCTGTAAGCTGTTGGCCTGACTCCCCCAGCCCAGGAAGGACTGACGCCCAAGGACGGCTCAGGCCCGTCTTTCAGGGCACGGTTTTGTTCTTCAGACACCAAACTCTCAGCGTACACATACAAAGCTTCCCGCTGCATAAAGTGGGCTGCAGCGGCCCCAAGGCCTTTCCTCTGTGTCTCTCACCCTGCATCAAGGAGGCCACCTTGCTTCCTGCAGCTCCCTTCCTCAACTGAGCCATTTTCGAGTCACTTCATCAATCTCAGCAGGGAGGTCGCTGATCAGCCACAGGCCAGGCTGGGCCCTGCTCCCCGTGAAGGGCCAGCCACCTTGTGACAGCTTCCTTAGAAAACTCCTTGCCCTTGGCTGCTCCCTACCAACCCCTGCACCCCACAAGCAACTCACTTTCCCGCCAGGCTCAATTGCTATCCCACGAGGATCCCCACCCACCTCCTGTCCCCAGGGGCTATGGGTCCCTCTAGACTCACCGCTGACCTCCTGGATCTCCAAATCGGGCGAGGCCATGTAATACTGGTCACACAGCAGCTTGGCCATGTTGTAGGCATCTGGAGAGCAGAGAGAGGTGGGATTGGCACAGATTCTACCCAAGAGAGTGGAACTCAGTGCCTGCTTCCTCTTGGGACAGGCTCAGGACTTAGCAAGGGGATAGGAGACAAGGAATTTCAGCATGGACAGCGCTTGGAACGACAGACTGGAGCGAGATATTTACTCCCAGAATAAGGACAAGCTGGGCATCAGCTGGGTGAACTTCCCCCAGGCTGCCCTGTACCAGTGTCCCCTGCCTGGCAGGGACCCCCCTTTTAGGGACAAGGGGAGCTCAGTCACTGTGGCCCACCAGTGCTTGGCGTCTCTGGGGTACCCCCAAGGCAGTCTGACATCTGTCACATGAATGCTTGTCCACCGGCACCTAGGCTGAGATCCACCGAACTCGTCACACAGAGAAGCTTCCAAACAAATCGTCTTCAGCCCCCGCTGGTCTGGCACGGATCAGAACCGGCTCCCCCAGTTGATCTCCCAAGCCAGCCAGTCCGAGCCCCCAGTGCAACCTCATCTTGGTGAGACCCTTTAGCCTGCTTTGCTCCCCCACGCAGGGGCCCCCGCCCTTTTGTAGGGATGCTGCCTCTCAGCCATTATGGGGCACGGACCTCTCACAACCTCGGACACGTCACAGTGGGGGTCGATGCTGCCAATGTGCTTGGGGTGAGCAGGGTTGGTGCTGCCATCAAAGAGCAGGCCTGCAAGGAAAGAGACGGAGGGGAAGACGAAGAGGGGGGATGTGCGTTGATGGGGAGGACAGACTTCAGCACAGACTGGAACATACAAGTCTGAGGGGGTCCCCAGAAGGATCAAGAGCATGCATGACAGTTTCCATCTCTCCTACCCTGTCACTCTGTCCCAGTACTCCCCACCCACCCACAAATTCCACCCCTCGGCACCAGTCCCCTGCTGAAATCTCCCTGCTTATAGGGTCTCGTCTATTCCCTGATTCCTTCTAGTCTAGCCCAGAGGTCTTCCCGGGGGGTACATCAACTCATCTAGATATTTGCCTAGTTTTACAACAGGCTACAGGAAAAGCCCCAGCGAAGTCAGTACAAACTAACATTTCATTCACACAGTGACCCGTTTATACGGCTCTCTATGTAAGGACCATATTAATATTCCATTGATTTATTTTATAATTATAGGGTGAAAAGGAGAAAGTCGGCAATTTGTCAGTAATAGTATCCAGTGACTCTTTTGTGGTTTTAGGTCTGATTTTGTAAGCAAGTCGTTTTTAAGGGAAGTGAAACTTGAGGGTGTGCAAGACCAATCAGACTCTGGAAAGGGGGTCCAGTAGCCTGGAAAGGTTGAGACAGACTGGATGTACATTTTCAATCCTGTGCCCATCACCGCAGGATCTGATCCCTGCCTCATTCCACCTCTCCTCTGCAGCCCAGCCCCCACTCAGTCCCTTCCACTCCATGGGAGACAGCAGGCTTGGCTGGGCGCTTGTCACTCACTGTGCTGGTTGATCAGCATGCGGATGGAGATGCGGCTCAGGTAGAAGCGGTCCAGGAAATACTGGATGTTCTGGTTGGACACGGGGTCATCCCCGTAGGCCTCCTTGTACTCTATCACCCCCTGAGCCATGGTGGGCACCACGTCATTGTGCCGGTTACGGATGGTGATCAGGGCATCCGTGAACCTGGGAAAAGGAGGAAGGGAAAGCAGGGGGGGTTAGTCCACGTGAGATGTGAGCAGCTCATCATAGAGCGAGGTGAGGATACAGCCAACTTCCCAGAGCCTGGAACCAGAGGGCTACAACAAGGAGGCAGGGGACACTGAGATCCCCAGTACATTCCAGGGAGGCACAGCAATCCAGTCCAGGTTCCCCTAGGCTGAAGGAGCTCTTTCCCCCATTCCAACCCTAACGCGGGCGCAGCTGCCTGGGAAATCCCGGAGCAGATTCCACCGCACAGCTGACATAGATCTCCAGGGCGCATGTAACATCAGAGATGGCTGAAGTGCCGTAGCTGGAATTCAGCTCTGGACTGGGGGGGTATGGGGGGGCTGCAGAGGGAGTTGGGATCTGTGATAAAATTTCAGTGACACTCACGCCCAACCCCAGCCCGAGCGGAGGTCCCTGCCAGGATCTGGGAGCCGGAGGTGGGGCAGCAAGAAAGCATGACTGTCCTGTTCAATGCGGCCATACAAAAGGAATCCCTAGTCAGGTATCGGTCCACTGCCAGATGCAGAGGGCAAAAATCATAAACAGCAATACAGAGAAGGCAACAAAGTTCAATAGGGATTCCTGTTGTGTATCTGGAATGAAGCAGGATGACATATCCATTGCATTGGAATAGAAAATTCACCATTTGGAACAAGGGAGAATGCGAGGGCCCGTATAACTGACATCCAAGGGCGTTAAAGGAACCAGCTATATCACAAGTGTTAATTTTTAACCAATCTGGAAAAACAAGAGAAATTCCAAATTGGAGGCCTGCCATTGCAGTCCCAATATTTAAAAAGGGGCAAAGGGATGACTCAGAGAACTATAGATCAGTTAGGCTGACGTGATTCCCCGGCAAATAACAGAGTCTCGACTAACTGTTCTATCAAAGAATTAGAGACGAACAATACAACTAAAGCCAGTCAGCACGGTTTCATGGAAACGAGGTCTTACCAAACAAATCTGTTATTTTTTTTGGACAAGATTATAAGTCTGGTTGATAAACTGCGCATAGTATCCTTAGATTACTCCAAGGTGTTCGATTTAGTACCAGATGACACTCTAATGAAAAAACTTTGTATTTTATGGAATTAACAAGGCACCTGTTCGATGGATTGCCAACCGGCTCAGTGACAATGTTGTTGTTAGTGGGGAGATATCACTGAGAAGGGCAGGGTCCCCCCAGGTTTCTCACAGGGTCCCCCAGGGACTGGTTCTTGGTCAGGTGCTATTTGACATCTTCTAGATCATTGATAAAAATCATATACAATTTTTGCTGGTTAGGTTTGCAAGATAACACAAAACCATGTGGAGTAACAGATAATGAGGAGGATAGGTTAACGTTACAGAGCTCTCTGAGTCACCTGGTCACAATGTAACACACTCAAATGGATGTTTACTCATCTGGGATTAAAGAAAAGCAGATTACACCTAAAGGAGGGGAGACTAAGTCTTGGGAAGCAAGAACTCACAGGAGGACTTCGGGGGAACGCTGTTGCTAAGGGGCCTAACGTGATGCTGGTGTGTATACAGAGGGATATCAAGCAGAAATAGACAAGTGCACAGCATTGGCAAGACGGCTACTAGAATACTGAGTCCATTTCCGGTCTCCACGCTTAAAGGGGGAGGCGGACACAGGGGAGAGAATTCAGTGGCCGCACAAGTAAGCCTGGCAGCGAGAGCTCACGGAGCTCCACTTAGTCAGTTTACGGAAGAGCAGGGTGAGAGGTGACTTGGATCACTGTGTTAGGCACCTGTGCACGGGAAAGATATTGGCTAGGTGGGGGTGGGGCGTTGATTTTGCTGACGCAAGCATAACAAGATCCAATGGCTAGATCCAATTCAGCCTTGAAATAAGCTGCAATTTGCTAGCCAGGAGGGAAATTCAACACGGAGACAGCTCACCGGAGGCGTGGACTCTCAATCACTGGGAGTGATTCAATCCAGGTTCTGGGAAAAAGCCTTTGGCTTGTGGACACAGGAGGGCAGACTGAAGGGTTCCTCCTGGGCTTAGTCTGTTAACCCATTCAGCCCACACCCAACTTACTGTCCCAGGGTGCCTTGGTCCTCAGGGTCTTTGTCCAGGAACTCCATGATGTCCAGCAGGCTCTGAACATACCTGTAAGGGAGTGGGGACGAACAGGGATGCAGGTTCCATTTATATTCCATAGCCGCATGTTGGGAGTCCTGATCAACGCAGGGTGGCCCCAATCCCCGTCCTTCAACTGGCAGGCGCCCTGGAGAGACTGTGTGTGACAGCAATACCCCACTACCCGCCTCCATGGGGGGGAAGAGGACCCACAGAGTCTAGGCAGCGCACTTTACAAACAGGAATGGCTTCATCCACTGCTGAAATGCAGCCAGCTCTGGAGTGGGAAGTAGCAGCACGCACCCCCCCCCCCCCCCAAGAGTTTAGGACAGGAAGTGGAGAACGCTCTGGGATCTTTAACAGGCAGGATCACTGCTTGGCACCTCCAGCAACATAGCCCCCCCCCATGCAATGAAGCAGGCACTGGTTTAGTGCTGAACTACGGGGGAAGGCTGCCTCCTACTGGAGCCACCACCACAGCGTTCAGCAGGCATCTGGGCTTCCTGCAAAGGTCTCCCCTCCAAACACCAACCCAGCCCAGCTTCACCTGGCAGGATCTGAACCTGCAGCCATTACAACTCGGGCTAACTGAATCGAGGGCATTCCCCACCCACTACTACATATTCCAGAGGTCCACCTCTGGGAGCCCAGCCTAGGCAGAGCTGCTCCCTAACCCACTGCCTACCATCCCCTAGAGCACTGTCACCCAGCCCTCCTCCCACATAGGGACAGCAGAGACGGGCCTAGCCTAGTGCCTTGCATGATAGGAAGTACAACCGGTGAAGGAGCAGCAGCCAGGGGCCAGCGACTTCCCGGGCCTGCACCATGCCAGAGGCTTTGGGACAGGCAGCGCACCTTGCCCTCTGCAGCCTCAGCTTATCGGGAATGTCTGCCAGTCGAACCGGGAGCAAGCAGCCAGTCAGAACGGTAGCAGCCCATCCCCTCCCCTGGGTTACAATTTCCCTCCAGACACACAGCTCCTTCCAGAGGGCACCATGACAGCTGCAAACACCTAAGCAGGCTGGTCGTAAGCGTGGGGACGGAATGGTTTCCCAGGGCTCTGCTATATTTGCTTGGGGATTTAGGTTACAGGGAAGCAGCTGCAAAGGCACCAGTCCTGTGAGATCAGGAAGTTTTGATCATGGGATCCCAAGGATGCAGGAGGATGAGTACAGGAGCGGTTCGCCTCCAGAGATGACGGGCAGACCCCGCCACCAGTCACAAGGGATTAGGGGTGTAAGGAGAGTGCTCATTTGGGCCCCATCACCAGAGCCACCACGCAGGGCAGCATGATGCAGGGCTTATGCCAGAAAAGCAAGGACTGGAGTAGCAGGAGGGCCCTGGCCAAAGTAGAGAGAAGGCTGGTCTTGAACGGAAGGGATGTTGGAAGGTCAGGGTCCTGGAGCAGTCTAGATATCACCGGAGCACCCAAGCATGTGGGCAGAACCAGGGGAGGGGGCCTAGGGCTGGAATAGCGGGGAGGGGGGGGGGGCTGCAAGGAAGGACTGGAGTGTGTGGACATACATGGAGAGCCCAAGGCAGCACAGAAGGGCACTGGCAAAGCTGGGCGTAGGGGGCCCAGGGCTGGACTAGCAGGTGGCCTGCAAGGGCACTGGTGTAGGGAGGCTCAGAGGGGCGGGAGTCACTGCTTGACAGCAAACCCCGCTAAGCGCCCTAAGGGGTGCTGCGATGGGGACTCCCGTGGGTCTCCGGGTCGAGCCCCCTGAGCAGAAGTGACAGACCACAGAGCTTCATGCTGGAGAGGGGTTCAGCCAGGGGACCTCCCAGACCCCTCCGAGCAGGGGCTGCTTGAACAGACATTGGGGGGGGAGGAAGAGATGGGAGGGCTGAAGACATTGGAGCAGGCAGCAAAGGGTTAATGGCCAGCCCCATGGGATCACTGATGCAGGAATGCACCTTCCAGGAGGGCAAATTCCAGGGTGCAGCTTAGCTGCAGGCAAGGGCCAGGTTACTATTAACTCAGGCTCCTGCCCCCCAGCTCCCAGGGGGGGGGGGGGGGGGATTCAGCTGGTCTGGGCAGCCTCTGGGGTGAAAAGAGGAAATCGCTGGCTGCACAAACAAGCCCTCACGTGATCTCCAAAGTAGGACAAAGTTCAGGCTGCTGCTGTCTGGTGGGCAGGGGCCAGGAACTGGGTGGGGGGGGTCTTAAAGGGACATTTCTCATTTCTTCCCCCTCCTGTTGGCCTATGGACCCCCAAACCTATAAGGACCTGAGCAGAGCAGAGCAGCTGGTGCCTTTGAAATGACAACAACTGAACCATACCAGTACAAGGGGGAAGAAGAAAAGGAGGACTTGTGGCACCTTAGAGACTAACCAATTTATTTGAGCATGAGCTTTCGTGAGCCCAAGCATGGGCTGCCAGCCAGCGGGCTTTCAGGTGTTAAATACAGTCGCTGCCCCGAAACCTGCAGTACTCAGGGTGACCTGGCCGGGGCGCCACAACGGTGGGAGTATCAGGGAGCACACCCTTCCCCCAAGGGCGGTTTGGAAATCTCCCTGCTCCTCAACTAAACCCAACTGGGTTCTGCCCAGGGCTGGGCGAAGTGAAAAACCCCAACTGTTACGTGTTGGGCTGATCCTGCTCAGCTGGTCCATTGTCCTGGCACCATTTAATGAGCCCACGTCTAGTCTAGGAAGACATGTTTTTCAGCATGATCTGTCAGCTAGCTGTTCTTTACAGGGGTTAAGCCCTGTCTACACTAGAGGTCAAAATGCAGTAGCTAACTAGTGTACACACAACCTGTTTTCCTAGGCTTGGGCTACACTAGATAATTGAGTCGGCTTAACTACACCCCTCAGGGCTGTGAAAAAGCCACACCCCTGACCAGCGTAGCTAAGCCAACCTAACCCCCAGTGTAGACAGTGCTAGGGCGATGGGAGAATTCTTCCATCAACTTAGCTACTGCCTGTCGGGGACATGGAGTACCTACACAGATGGGAGAACCTCCCATTGGCGTAGGTAGTCCCTACGCTGAAGCTCGACAGTGGCAAGCTGTGCCATGGTAGCATTTCCACTGTAGACGAGCCCCTAGTCTAGACGTGGTCTCTTGGGTATACACTGCCTCAGTCCCCAGTTATCACTGATTTGTCTCCCCTACCCCCCGTGCCATTGCACGCCCCTGCACTCAGTATGTCCATTCCAGAGCCCCTCAGCTGGCAGGGTCTTTGAGCTGCCTTCCTCATTCTCCTCCTGCATCTGTTACATGTAAACCCAGACCAGGTGAGCAAGGGGCTTGCTGAGGAGAGTTGGTGGGTGCGGTGGGATATGGGGGCAGACAGGCAAAGGCTGGCAGCGTCTCCCTACACACACAAGCTAGTAGTGCCATGCTCCCCCCCACCCCGGCTAGCAGTGCCGTGCCCCCAACATACACACAGACTAGCAATATTGCCCGCCCCCACCCCCTTGACTGGCAGTCCATCCTACTCACCAGCTCTGCACCAGCTGCACCGAGGGTGTGCTGATGACCCGGTCTGGCAGCAGGTTGATCTCCTTCATGATGTTGGACAGCCGGACAGGCAGCTCCTGGCGGAGGAAGGTGAAGGAGGTTTTCTCGCAGGCATTGCTGGACCCTAGAGATAGAAGCCCCACCGTTAGAAAAGCAGGATCTCAGTGACCCTCACCCTGATGACGGGGAAGTAGGCACCTAGCCCTTCAGAAGACACCCACCTGTCCTGCCCCCAGTATCAGCTCAGGATGGTACATCAGACCACCAGTTGGACTCCCAGGCTCTCATCAAGAGCATTTACCTGGTTCCTCCAGCCCCTTCCTCCACTACAGCCCCTTGCATCAGAGGATCTCATGCTGATCCCCAAACATTACACCTCAGACCCCCACGCTCCCCCACTGAGTACAGCGTTAGCCAATCTAACCACTAGGCCACACTCCCTTGCAACAGGCTGAACTCCATCAGGGTCTTGGGCACAGCTCTCGGGATGGGGAGGGGGAGGAAAGCTGTCCCCATCACTTCACACCTCCTGCCAATCGCAGACCAGCCCTTCTCATCTGCTGCTCCCTCCACCAGAGTCACCTCATCCAGCTGCCGAGCTCCAGCAGGGGATACTGGACAGGAGACTCACAAGGGAGGCCAGGTCGCACGCTAACCCCAGGCTGCAGCCCATTACTGCTCAACTTGCCCTGCCCAACGTGGGAAATGGGGAGAATACCCCTATCACTTTGAAGGCATGTCCACGAGGCCAGGGCAGGTGGGGTCATCTTGTGGTTTGAGCAAAAGACTGGAGCCTGTGCCTGGTTCTGCCACTGATTCACAGAGTGACCTCAGGCATGTCACCTAACCTCTCTGTGCCTCGGATCCCTCCATCCGTACACATCATTCCAATCACAGGGCCTCCAAAGAGTCCTGTATGGTTATATTTCATCACTGCCTTCCCAGGTTGGGAGTGGGCACGCTGGCTGCCTTCCCCAGGTCCAGGAGCCATTTCTCAGGCTCCCTCTCTGGAATCGAACCCTGGCTCCCTGGCGGGCTGCCTAAGGAGAGGTCTGCCCTGCCGCAGAATGACAGAGACGCCAGGAGCCTTAATGGCCAGGAGCCTTAATGACCGGGAACTCCCTACACTGGCCAGCAGAAATGAAACTAACCGCCTCACTGGCAGCAACTCCAAGTTCTGCAAGGAATCCAACCAACAAACCCACCCACAGTCAAAAGCACCCGAGTGACCGGGACCTGGGCCAAGAGGCTCAAGGAGGGTCTGGAGGAGGAAAACAAAAAAATAGTGGGTGATGATCTCAGCAGGGCTATAAAGTAGCTGCAGGGAGAAGAGAAGAGGTGGGAGGCTGGTAAACAAGGGCATCACTCTGTAGAGAGGAGTAGCGGGGTGTGTGTGTGTAACTCACACGCACCCAAATGTACAGATGTAACCTGAGCTCCTGCACGTTCGTACATCCCTGGCAGTTTCTAGCTAAACAACGGCACAGATTGTTTGGCAGGCAACGAAGGCTATTGACGCAGCACTGCAATGAGACCAGGCGAGCCAGACAAGTGGCTAGTGGAAGGGAGAGAAACACACACCCCAGCATGCGTGTCAGCAGGTTGCCATGCAGCGCCAGCCAGCCAGGCCTGGCAGGGACTTTGTCTAGCGTTTTGAAAGCCCCGGCAGGCCTGACATTTGTTCTGGAACGAGAAGCCACGCGAAATGGACACGGAGGGCAGTGAGCACTGGGGGGCTGGGAGCTGCCTCCGGGTGGCAGGAGCGAGGAATGGTTCTAGGACAAGGCAGAGGGCACACGTCTAAGGACAGCCAGAAGAGAAGGGGGTGCTGCGGTGCATCTCAAATACGTTACGGCAATTAACCCCTTCGCCTTTTCCTATCTCCTTCAGACCATGGATCTCCATGTATATCAGTGAATCCATCTTCCCAGCCTGCCCTGGGCCGTGGCTCAGTCTCGCTACCCCCATGCAACCGCTGGGGAAACTGAGGCACAAAGCCAGGAAGGGAGTCGGCAGCAGGGCCAGGAACAGAACCCAGGAGCCCCCTGCTCTAGCTAGTGGGCTGGGAAGCAGCAGGGAGGGGCTGCGGCTGCCTGCAGCAGCCTGGAGAGGTTATATCCCGAAACCTCAAAGAAAGGCAGCACCCTGTTGTTTTCAAAGAGGATTTTCCAGGGGGGAGGATCCTTGGAGGATTTGGGTGTATCAGAGTCAGACGCCCCAGACGCCCCAGGGAGGGAGGGCAGAATACGTGATGTGTGGGGGGGATGGACGGAGTGTGTTCCAACGTGCAAAGAACAACCTCTCACCATCTCCCACAGCTGTCCCTTAGAAGAGCGGAGAGCAAACCTTGCTGTAATTCAGAGACAAGAGTCACCATCCTCTCCTCCCCCCACAGCTCCTGCTTGGGGGGGGGGGGGTCAAATTAAACCACTCCCTACTCTCCCTCCACTGATTTCATGCACCACCCTACCCACTGGTTTCCCCGACATCTTCCACTCCCCAGAGAACAGGATCATATGGGAGATTTTCTGCTTCCAGCCCCCACTCTCAGCCGTATAGTCCTTCTAGCCCTTTCTTAGCCCCCCTACTTGGTAATGACTCCCCCACATTGCATCACCAGCGGGGCCAGCACCAACGATCTCTGGCACCAAAAGCCCAAACTCCGACCCACTGAGCTAGAGGGGCAAATCAGCCCCCCAGCCCCAAGAGGGAATCACTTAGTCACTGTGTTAAGCCCACGCCCCTCAGGAATTCAGAACCCTGGTCGGGCCACGACTATGGACCTCACCTTCCCCCCAACCCCATCACTGCCTCCCACAGCACCACTGTCCCATAGCCAGATTGCCCCTAAGCCCTGGGAGCAGGGGATAGCTCCAAAATCCCTGAACTGTTCTAGAAAGAGCTGCTCCCCACTCCTACCCCAATGAACCTCCCTTCTGTCCCCGGGGGGGCATTTACCCAGGGACTATTCCACAAAGAGAATAGGGAAAGCCAGCCCCACTGCTACCCCCTTGCCCCAGCGGGCGGTTAGTGAACATGAACAGCAGGGAGCCCCTGATCTCCCCGGCTCCGTGCCCCCAAGGGTGGGTGGGAGGGGAATAGCAATGTCCCACGCTCAGAGCATACTGCCAACAGGGCAGGGGGAAGGCAGCCCTGCCTCCAAGCTGCCCCATGGATCCCCTCCTCTGCTACCCCAGGGGTCTTTCGCCAGGCAGGGAGCGGGGGCATTGATTCCAGGCCCGGAACTGCTCCTTGGCAGTGGGGGGAAGAGGAAGAGACTGTCCCCCTCCTGCCCCATGGCCCCCCAGCCCTCGGTGCCAGGGGGGTAGGTACCCAGGCAATGTGGGAGTGTGTGTTGCGGGGTGTAACTACCACAGTCCAGGAACGGCTTCACAGGGGTAGAGGGGGAGCCTGCCCCTCACAAGCCCCCGGGATACTTACCTGGGGGGGGGTCTATGCACCGGGGGGGGTGGCGGGGGGTACGCGGCAGGGACAGTGGCATACACCCGGATGGGCGGTGGAGGGGGCTGGACCCAGGCGGGAGGCAGAGGGGTGACGTACCCCAGGGAGCGCACACGGGGGGAGAAAAGGCCCACGGGGAAGGGGACAGATAGAGCCAGAGGGTATTTACCCAGGCTGGGGAGGGAGGATATTGACCCGGTGGTGGAGGCTGTATGAACCCGACGCTATTTACCGCCGCAGGAAAAGCCAAGGGGGTATTTACCCAGGGAGGGGGCACGCCCTGGGGGTATTCATCCGGGAGGGAGGGGCCCGGGGGCATTTACGAGAGGGAGGGGCCCGGGGTATTTACCCAGGCAGGGGTGGGGTCGGGGGGGGGTATTGGCCAGGGCAGGGCCCGTGGGGTATTTGATGGGGGTGGGGGGAGCAGCTGGGGGAAGGGCACAAGGGGTGTTTGCTGGGGGCAGGGCCCCGGGGGGTATTTACCAGGGGGGGTGTTGGCCGGGGGCAGGGCCCCGGGTGTGTGTGGGGGGGGGGCAGCTGCCTGGGTGGGGGCGGGGCCGCGGGGTATTGGCCGGGGGCGGGGCCCCGGGGGGGGGCAGTTGCCCGGGGGGGGGCGGGGCAGTTGCCCGGGCGGGGCCGCGGGGCATTGGCCGGGGGCGGGGCCCCGGGGGGGGCAGTTGCCCGGGGGGGGGCGGGGCCGCGGGGTATTGGGGGGGGGGGCAGTTACCGAAATCCAGGAACTGCTTCATGGAGAGCGGCGAGGGCGAGAACTTGCTGAAGTGCTCGATGTAGGTCGGGGCCCCGGCGGCCCGCGCCGCCTTCCCCAGCAGGGCCCGCAGCAGCCGCATCGCGCCCGGGGCCCCCGAGCCACTGACAGCGGCCTGCGGCCCAGCCCGCGCCGGCGCCGCCCCCCCGCCGCCCGCCGCCAATCGCCGCTCACAAACATCCCCCGCGGCCCAATGGGGAGCGCGCCCACCCACGTGCCCGCCCCGGGACCCGCCCATTCACCCCTCCCTGCCCGGGGCCCTTCTGTCCGCCCCCTCTCTATCCCCTTAACCCCTTCCTGGCCAGGGTCCCACGGACCCCCCTAACCCCCCCCCGCCATCCCCTTAACCCCTTCCTGGCCAGGGCCCTGTGGCCCCCCTAGACCCCCCCCCCATCCCCTTAACCCCTTCCTGGCCAGGGCCCCACGGACCCCCCTAACCCCCCCCCGCCATCCCCTTAACCCCTTCCTGGCCAGGGCCCTGTGGCCCCCTGACCCCCCCGCCATCCCCTTAACCCCTTCCTGCCAGGGCCCTTCTTCCCCCCTCTCTATCCCCTTAACCCCTTCCTGCCAGGGCCCTTGCCCCCTACCCCCCCCGCCCCCCCTTAACCCCTTCCTCCAGGGCCCCCCCCAGCCCCTCCCGGCCATCCCCTTAACCCCTTCCTGGCCAGGGCCCTGCGGCCCCCCAGCCCCCACTCCCCCCCCCCCACCCCCTTCAGCCCTCCCCCAAAACCCCCCATCCCCTTAACCCCTTCCTGGCCAGGGCCCTGCGGCCCCCCTAGACCCCCACATTCCCTTAACCCCTCCCTGACTAGGGCCCTACAGCTCCCCCCAAAACCCCCCATCCCCTTAACCCCTTCCTGGCCAGGGCCCTACAGCCCACCCTAGACCCCCACATTCCCTTAACCCCTTCCTGACCAGGGCCCTGCTGCCCAGCCCAACCTAATTTAACTCCCTTCCCTTCCACCCCCTCAAAGCACTAATGCCCTTGGGCAAGGCCCTGGTAGGCCCCGGACCACCACGACCAATTCTGGTCCTGCATGTTCAAGACAGAGGAATTCAGTCTGAATCAGGGCTGCTAGCTCAATCGGGGAGACGGCAGAGCTGAGCTCACGGCATGAGTTAAAGGAACTCGGCTCGTCCAGCCCAGCGAAGGCTGAGCCCGGAGACGAGCGCTCTCTGGACCTACATGAGGTGGCCCCAATGAAGCTTAAGGACAATGTCGGCTCAAGAACAAATGGGGATAAACTCCCCAGGAGTAAATTGATGCTGCAAAGGAAAAGGTTTCTAACCCCCAGAGGAGGGCAGCTCCGGAGCAGCCTCCCAACAGCGGGGGTGAGGGGGGTCAACAGTGTAAATGTTTGAGACTTGAGACTGATTTATCAACCCCTGTGGTAGCAGGGGCTGTGCTCCATGGCCCACCCATTCTCCCTCCAACCCAGCGGGCCCACAACCATGAAGGTATTTAGATGCCTAACTCCCATTGAAATCAATTCGAGTTAGACACCTAGATCTCTTTGAGGATCCGGACCTCACTCATCAGAGCCCAGAGACCAAGCTCAAGAAACCGCTTGTTAGGATATAGATATTCAGGCCTGTCTGCAAAGGAATTTAGGTGTATTCTTATCACTTGGCTAGTTACAGAGGTATAAAAGAAAGAATCAAAATCACTGTCTGCCGGTGTAAGGTCCTTCTCTTACTGTGACAGTCTGAGGCCCTGTTCTTAGGCTAAGGCCCTTGGCTAAGCAACAGAGGCAGCCATAAACTGGGAAGCGACCGGACACATCCTCACATTCCAAACTAGTCACATTGAAAGAAGGTGCTATTGGGCTGTTAGGATACAATCCTGTCCTGATAGTGCCTATCACCTCCAGAGAAAGGGAAGTGCCTAGAAGATGTAAAAGGAAACTTAGTTTGATAGCATCCTGTCTGGCAAGAACTCACTTATCAATTGCTGGGCTGTGAAATCCTCACGTCTGTATTGTTTTGTCATTATAGTTCCCACTTTGCTATTGACAGGTTTCAGAGGAACAGCCGTGTTAGTCTGTATTCGCAAAAAGAAAAGGAGTACTTGTGGCACCTTAGAGACTAACCAATTTATTTGAGCATGAGCTTTCGTGAGCTACAGCAAAGTGAGCTGTAGCTCACGAAAGCTCATGCTCAAATAAATTGGTTAGTCTCTAAGGTGCCACAAGTACTCCTTTTCACTTTGCTATTGTTTGTCTGTATAATCTCTGTCTGGTTCTGTGATTGTTTCTGTTTGCTGTATAATTAATTTTGCTGGGTGTAAACTAATTAAGGTGGTGGGATATAATTGGTTACATAGTCATGTTACAATATGTTAGGATTGGTTAGTTAAATTTCAGGAAAATGATAAGGTATAGCTAAGCCGAACTCAAGTTTTACTATATAGTCTGCAGTCAATCAGGAAGTGAGGGTGTGGGTGTGGGGAGGGGAAATGGGAACAGGGAATGGAGGTGGGGAAATTGGAATCATGTTTGGCTAAAGGGGGAAATGGGAAAGGGGGTAAGGAAATTGGAATCATGTTTGGCTAAGGGCAGGAATGGGAACAGGGACACAGGTGTAAGGCTCTGTGGTGTCAGAGCTGGGAAGGGGGACACTAAGGAAGGAAACTGGAATCATGCTTGCTGGAAGTTCACCTCAATAAACATCAAATTGTTTGCACCTTTGGACTTTGGGTATTGTTGCTCTCTGTTCATGTGAGAAGGACCAGGGAAGTAAGTGGGTGAAGGAATAAGACCCCTAACACCGCTCCTTCCCCACCAATACATCAGAAGCAGGAAGCCTTCCAAACAATCAGGGGGGGGCCACTGGATGATCGAGGTGCTTAAGAAGCACTCAAGGAAGACAAGGCCATTGCGGAGAAGCTAAATGTGTTCTTTGCATCGGTCTTCACTGCAAGAGATGTGAGGGAAATTCCCGCACCTGAGCCATTCTTTTTAGGTGACAAATCTGAGGACCTGTCCCAGATTGAGGTGTCAGTAGAGGAGGTTTTAGAATAAATTGATACATTAAACAGTAATAAGTCACCAGGACCAGATGGTATTCACCCGCGAGTTCTGAAGGAATGAAATCATGAATGGCATGGAGAAAGTATGACTTGCTCCTTCACATAATGCAAGAACCAGGGGTCACCCAAAGAAATGAATAGGCAGCAGGTTTTAAACAAACCCAAGGAAGCATTGCTTTGCACAACGCAGTTAACCTGTGGAACTCATTGCCAGGTGCTGTTAGGAAGGCCAAAACTATAACCAGATTCAAAAAAGAGCTAGAGAGGTTACTGAAAGACAGGTCCACCCCTGGCTATCAGCCAAGATGGTCAGGGATGCAACCCCATGGTCTGGGAATCTCTAGCCTCTCTTTGCCAGAAGCTGGGAATGGACGACAGGGGATGGATCACTGGGTGGTTGTCTGGTCTCTTCGTTCCCTCTGAAGCATGTGGTGCCGGCCGCTTTTGGCAGACAGGACAGTGGGCTAGCTGGACCCTGGGCCTGACCCAGCGTGGCCGTTCTCATGTCTTCTTGGCCAATCTGCCTCACCCCACAACATCACTGCCCTGACTGGGGCAATAACCTTCCACAGCTGCAGCTCCCCGCGGGGTTTCCAAATCTCACTACCGCAGCGACATCTGGCGGCCAAAGAAAATATGATCGCTCCTGCAGAGATTCTCCCGAGGTCAAACCCAGATTATCATCATTGGTATTGGGGCAGCCCCTAACAGCCCCCGCCCCGAACCAGGACCCCATGTGTGCTAGGCGCTGTACAAACACAGATTATTAGTTAGATTTCCCCCCTCCTGCAACCCAGCCCCCACTGCACCATGCTTAAAAAAAATGCATCTTTCCTTTCTAGGTGTTGCAGTTTGCAAATGGGTTAATGTCAGCAACCAGCGGGCCAGGTTCTGTTCCCCAGGATGCTGGTGTAGTGTCTTCCACAATTTGGCTGTAACGAATCCAAAGGAGGATTCCTTATGGAGGCAGCTGGCCGCTAACGGACCCTGGTTCCCAGGCTAATCAACAACCCACCTTTGCTGCCCAGTGTTACCATGTAGGCCCTGGCCTAGAACCCAGTTCCGAAAGAGGCTGTAAATTAGACACCATTGCTCTGGCTTTGTGCTGGCAGAAGCGAGAGAAGTATCAGGCCTGGTGGCCTGAGACCCCCTACCCCCCAACCTGAAGCTCCATTTATAGTCCAGAAGGTGCTTGGTAGGGATGGGCAGGATGGCCTAATGGGGAGCACCATGAATAAGCACCTAGGAGTGGTGGGTTCTAGTCCCAGCCCTGCTCCTAGCAACTCACCTTCCCTCTCTGTAAAATGGGGTAATAAAACTGACCACCTTTGTAAAGCACTTTGAGATCTACTGCTGAAAAGTGCTACGTATGGTGAATACCCGGAGTGTGCATCTGTGGTTTAAGCCTGGGGGTGGGGGGGTGGAAGGTGGACTGTAGGAAACTGCATGTTACAAATCAAGGAGCAATTTTTATTTGACACCATCATAACCGCTCAAGCATATTCACATCAAGGCGCAGTGACTCCAGCCCTCCAGTACCATAAAAGAAACGAACTCCAGTGATCAACAGCAAAAAAACCCCAAATACACGCTTAATAATTTAATATCCCCAGCCGAGGGCACAGAGGGAGTGTCAGAGAGTGGTCAGCGTAGGAAACTCTCATTCTTGCAGGTTCCTTTATTGTAAACCAGGGTGACACCTCCTAATTAAAGCATTGTGTGATGCCTGCAAGAACGCCCCCTAGCAAGAGCGCACAAGCGGAACGTGCCCAGCGGCTAGGGAGTGCTGGGAACAGAACGTTTCATGCCCATGGATCCTTCCAGCCGACGGAGCATGAAAACTCAGCTGCACGGTTGGGATGGGAAAGGGAGGCCCGGTGATGCCTGCAGCAGCTGAGGGGGCCACGTGGGGGCAGAGTGCTGACTGGGGCAGGATCAGCGGTAACCCTGTGAAAACATCCCCTGCCAGGCCTTTCCTGTTGCAGGACCCCTGGGGTCAAGTCCTGTGCTACTCCCTAGGAGTAGCTGGAGAGGGGACCACTGGCTCTAGGCTTAAGCAGATCCAGCTACCAGAAAGTGGGGACCATGAATGGGAGGAAGCTGGTGCTGCAGCTACAAAGAGCCCTGAGGTTCCCCCGACTTAGCAGCACCTCCCTAGACAAGGGCAGATTCAGCAGGACGCAGAGCAGACTTTTCTCTAGTTGCATCGGCTCCAACAGGGCTAACGGGTGGGGGGGGGGGGCATAACGCCACACAGGGATCAAGGCTGCAGTAGCCTCAAATCAGCCCCTGCAGTTTAAGGCTCAAAGCGAGATCCCAGCCTGCAGCCTTGCAGGGGGGTGGGGGGTGGGCAGAGTTGGGGCGCATAGGGCCCACAGTCTGTTCCTTCAGAGGAGTCAATAAAGATCAGGTAGTGTTTGACCCCTGCATCCGGCTGGTTACACAGCCAAGCCTCGGCTGAAAAGAGCCCTTACCTGTCCCATCCTTGGAGGGGAGCCGAGACCTGCTGCTTGCAAGTCGATGGGGAGGGACCATCCCGCGGGGATGACAAAGCCTGGCCTTGCCTCCCCCCCCCACCCCAACATCCACCCTTCCCAGACCAAAAGCACGGCTCTCCCTGGGTTGTACCCCAGTAACAATCGGCGAACGGCTGCTCTTCCCCCCAAACAAAGGACGCCCAGGGGACAAGCCGGGAAAGGTACCAGTAGCTCTCACATAAGAAACTTCAGTGGCAAAACATCCAGTGTGGCGCATGGAGGGGGCCGTGATGAGGCTGAAGGGTGTTGCCTTGGCTCATCCCCCTACAGGAGCAGGGGGTTCCGAGTAGGGGAGCCGCTTCCCCTCTTCTGTCTGGGTGCAGAATGCCAGGGCCATTGCCGGCGGCTGAGCGGGGGCGTTGGCAGGTCCCGGGGAGAAGCAGCGACCATGAACGTGCATCAAAGACCGCACGGGTCAGGGCGAGTGTCCGTGTGCTGCATTCACCGCCACCCGAGCGAATCGGTGCAAGCGAGTCTGTGCACGAGGGGCCGTGCGTGCAGCCGGATCCCGGAGGAGGAGCATGCTCTGTGCACTAGTCATCTGTGGGCAAGCATGGGACAGTGGTGGGGGTGTCATGTGGTTCGTGGGCGTCTTGGGATCTCGTCACAACCCACACCAAAATGCTGTAAGCTTCCAAGTGTGTGCGGGGACTTGATTGCATGAGAGCTCATCTCCGTGTGTGTGTGTGTGTGTGTGTGTGTGTGTGTGTGTGCGTGTGCGTGTGTGTAAAGGGCAGGCAAAGCAATGCTCTGTGCACCCAAGAGCTTCGGGTAAGACCCAACCATCTGTGCACAAGTGCACGGCCAAGATGCCGAGGGGCTGTGCGAGACCACACGCTGTCTGTGCGTAAGGAGGCACTTTGCAGTACACGCGAGCGTGACAGAGAGCGAGAGAGCTGGGGGCAGGGTGAGGGCTGGGGCCCAGACCGAACACACAGCAATTATGCCCAGGCAGAAGAGTGTGTCTATATGTGTGAAATAATCCATTTGTGCAAAACAAAAGCCCCTCGTGTTCCCACTGCCGGGTCTCGTGTTGCACGGCTGCTCCCAGGCCCCTCGAGAAAGCTTTGGGGTTGCCGTTCTATGCGGTATAACTTAGGATAAATAACATGTCCTTCGCTGACAGGGGGCTGGTCCCTGGGCTAGTTACACATAGCAGCGACGTGGTCACGGGGCAAGCCGAGCAGACAGGGTGGCAGGAGGGGGAGGGAAGGGTCAGTAGTACTTCTCCGACTCCTGCCAATTTGTTACCCAGTGTTTCTTGTGCTTCCGGGGCAGGAAGCCGTCAGCAGGCCGGTAGCGCTCCCCCTGGCGGATCCGCACCGCGTGGTACTTGGGCATGATCCGGTAATAGCGGGTCCGCTTGAAGAAGTCACACTGGGCAGAGGGGAGAGGAAGGGAATGGAGGTTAACATCAAACTTCAATGGCCAGAGAAAGAAATCAGAGCGGGAGAGTGAAATCAGAAAGAGAAATCAGGGACACAAATCAGAGCGGGAGAGAGAAATCAATCAGTCAGGGAGCGAGAAATCAGGGACAGAAATCAGAGAAACAGCTGAAGGAAATCAGAGACAGCACGTGAGATCAAAGAAAAATGAGCTCAAAATCAGAGAGATGAGAGGGAGAAAAAGACCAAAGAAAAGAGAGAAAGAAAAAAGATCAGAAAAATAGAAACAACTACAACAAAAGGAACAAGAGCAAACGAGAAAAGAGAGACAGAGACAGACTTTGACTCTTTCCCCGGCAGGAGAGACAACAGAATCCAGAGGCTGCTCTGAGAAACATTTGGTCAGTGATGCTGGAAAGGGGGAGACAGACATTAGCGTTAGTTAAACGGCAGCACAGTTGGACAGACAGCCACAGCTGGACGGCGTGCGTGGAATTGCCGGTTCTCCTTCCCATCTGCAGTTCTATCCCCTGGGCAGTCAGCGGCGGTTTGGTCCTTCGTGGGAAGATCCCGACTCCCTCATTCGGCATCAGCACCCCCTAGCGTCACAGCAGCATCCTGGGCCACTGTTCTACCCTTCTCTCGATTCGGGTTTCTTCTGACTCTGCCCACTGGTGCAGCTGTCCCACGCACAAGGCTCAGCCCACGCCATCACACAGGTGAGGGATAGTGACACGTCAGGCACGAGGGTGGCGATGCCCTTTTAATCCAGCCGGGCAACGCGTGCAAATGGTCATGGGGTGCCACAAATGCGCAGCCCCCTCTCCCTCCTCACCCCCACCCCGAGGTTTGGTGCTGTATCCTCCCCAGGTACTCCTCTTTTGCATCATCGGGGCTTATACGGCAGGGTCCTCGGGGCAGATCCCGAGCTAGCAAAGAGCGAGACAATCGCAAACGTGGGTTAGAGCCAACTGAGTGGAACAGCGGATACACACACACACACACACTCTGAGCCCCCATGGAGCCTATGCAGAGTCCAGCGGCAGGTGGAGGGGAGCCAGGGAAAAGCAGAGGGGGATTAGGGTTAGGGGCGTGCCAGCAAAAATGCAGTCAGATGATTTGTTCCCTGGCTGCGAGGGTATCAGACCAGACCACACACAGAGACTCAGTGAAAACTCAGTGGGCCCCTCAACGGAGAGATGCAGCCCAGACAGGGAAAGGGTTAATAGGAGAAGGCATGACAGAGACAGGGAGGAAGTGAGAAGTCAATATCCCATAGGCCCCGCCCCTTTGTGTGTTGCCCCGCCCCCCGTTCATTACCAAGAGGATGGAGTGGGCTCTCAGGGCAAAGGGGCAGCCCCGAGCTAGTAGTCATCTGTCAGCCGCTCCGTTTCAGACGGCTGGATCTTCATCTCCGCCTTCTGGCCCTTGGCCTCGTACATGGCGCGGGTGCTCGCCCTCCGGAAGAAGCCGCACTACGAGGAAGCAGGTGACACCGGTCAGGGGCAATGGGTGGCGGGGAATCCCTTGGGAGGAAAGGCTCCAGCCCACAGGTGGCTGCTTCTCAGTGGCAGACGGGCTGATCTCTTGCGTGTATCGCTTGATATAGGGCTCTGGGAACCCTGCGTAGCAGGGCCGGATCGGGGAGGCGAGTTGGGGATATGGACGTACTTCCTAATCAGCTGGGTCATTTCGGCTTCCCATTGAACAAGCTCAACTGAACTCTGCTCTGAGAGATGGCCCCTTCTGACTCACCTGATCTGCTCCCCCGTGATGCCTGAAATACCCGTTCGCTCCCGCTAGCCTAGCGGAGTGGAAGCAGCAATCCGGATTCTATTCTGGATCATGCATCATCAATTAAGTTCCTACTGTGCAACTGAAGGGGCGAAAAAAACAGCTTAACTCTCAGATCCCCAGGTGGCACTTGCAGGGTTAGGAGGAGACTTCCCCAGGGCCCCCTCCAGAATTTGGAGCAGCCCAGTGGGGTGGGAGTGGAGGCAAAGGTGGCTTTACACCACCTTTTAACCTCCAGGATTCTGGGGCTGGTGGGATAAGGTAGAGCAGGCCATGGGACTGCTCTAATTTACACCCCAAGGGACCATCGTGCAGCTGAGAAAAGCTGGAGCTCAGAGCAATGCGGCCACACCCCAACCATCTCTGGAGCATGTACCTAGCATATTCTAGTGCTGGGAAGAGCACAGGGCAGCAGTGTTGGAGGATTCCCCAAGCTGGGGTGATCTCTGGGGTTTCCAGCTCCTCTATGCCGCCCAGTATCAGGGCTGCTATCTTGCAAAGCCGTCAGCCGTGATCCCCGAGAGAGGAGAATTCGCTTTCCAAAGCTGAACTGTATTTAAACAATACAGCCGGAACACCAGACGTGCAATCCCACGGGGGTATTCACACAGCTCAACCGGGCCCAGGGGAGGCTCACGGCATTCTCTGCTCCGAACGCACGCTGGACAAGCCCCAGAGACAGCAGGGGTTGAGAGAAGCCCAAAACTTCCTCAGCCCCACCCCCAAAAATGGCAGTTTATCCCAATTTGCTAGAACCCAGTCAAGCTAAGCAGGGGTGGAACGGAGAGCTCCAAGGAACAGCTCAGATGCTGCTGCAGGGAGTGATGCTAGTGATTCAATAGGGGGCACTGTTCTCACGCTCTGGCATAAAGCAGAGGCTCCCGACTGCCAACCATTCCTCGATGTTTCATATAAGTGGGGCGTTAACCCCATTCCACCTGGGGTAAATACAGTCAGTCTCCCTAAATCCCCTTCTGATGCTCTTCTGCATCTTGTCTGACAGCCTAGTTGTGTGCTGCTAAACAGCGGCCATGATCCACCCCAGAGGTGGCTGCATCTCAGCGGCGGGCGAAGAGATCTCTGTGTGTCGTCTGCAAAGGACTCCGGGACCCTTCACGATGAAAGACTGCGGGGTCGCCAGCCTAGCCTGAACCTCGCTAGGCTGAGAATCTCTCGAGAAGCAGCTTTCTATAGGGCCCTCGTGCTGCTGAAACTGGGGGCCTCGGAATGCGTTACGGACGCGGTCACCGGGTTGCAGGGCTCATGGTCCACTGGTGTCTTGAGCATGCCAGGCCTCAGCGCTGTTCCCACAGCTCTGTCACTCACTCCCAGCGGCTCCTGTATCAGCCTAGACGGAGAGCAGGAATCCCTCACCCCCCGCCCTGCGCTCCGAAGGGAACAGCAGCCCCTCTCACCTTCCACAGCAGCAGGATGATCAGCCCCAGCAACAGCAGCCCTGCCCCTACCGCCACCAGCACCAGCCACAGCTCGATCTCCACCGGCTGCTCCTCGACCAGCTCCGAGTCGATGTCCACATAGAACTGGGAGCCAAACGCAATGAACAGAGAGGATGGGACGGCAGCTGCACAACTGTGCACCTGGCTGGGGGGGGGCGCGGGGGAGGGAGGAGCTCCTGGCTATTGTCGTCCCAGCCTCTCCCAGCAGGAGGCGCTGTCGGGGGTGGTACAGGAGAGCTGGCTATGGGCGGGGGGGACTCCCAGCTACTCCAGTTCCAGCCACTTCCAGCAGGAGGCGCTGTCGGGGGATGGTGTAGAAGCACTGGCTATGGGCGGGGGGGACTCCCAGCTACTCCAGTTCCAGCCACTTCCAGCAGGAGGCGCTGTCGGGGGATGGTGTAGAAGCACTGGCTATGGGCGGGGGGGGGAACTCCCAGCTACTCCAGTTCCAGCCACTTCCAGCAGGAGGCGCTGGAGGCAAGAGCAGGCAAACACACGCCCTGCACCCAGAGAAGGAAGCAATCCGGGCTCACTCACCCGCACCGTGTGGTTCTTCATGTTGATGGTGGGAACGTTTGTCTTGAGGAACAGCGTCGCCAGCCCATCCACCTTGACACGGTCAAAGTCACTGAACTCCTGTGGAGGCCGGGGTGGGGGGACAAGGGTGGGGAGCGTGAAATGGGGCGGCTTGTAACCTGGGCCAGGAGTGTATCTCCACTTTAACACCCTCCCCCCCCCATTCTTCTCCCCCACCTTGGTGCTGATGAACCCCGATGGCCCTGCAGGTCCAGCGTCGTCCTTGGAGCAAATACTGCCTGGCCAAGCTTCCCGCAGGGGCCAACCCCAGGCGAGAGGCAAGCTAGGCCCTCTGGCTCATTCTGCCCTTGGCCCCACTGCAGAGATTGCTGGGAATGGGGACGAGCGATGCCAGCTGGAGTACGGGATAGGGGGGTGGCCATTGCCGCTAGGAACCCAGTTGAGACCTCCCAACTCATTGCATGCAGTGTCTGGTCACTGCCTTCCCTCCATCATATTCCAGCCAGCGGCCTAGAGGGGCTTGGCACCACAGGGACCCCGGCAGTGCCGGACCAACCATCCATCCCAGTACCCCATCTCTGACAGCAGCCAGCACCAGCTGCCTCTGGGGAAGGTGCAAGAAACCCCTGCAGCGGGCTGATGTGGAGCAATCTGCCCGGGCAACCCTGCTCTCATCCTGATAGTGCAAGATTAGCTTAAACCTGAGTTTGTTAGTGTTTATAGGGATACTCCTGCTATCCATATAAATGGCCGAGGCCTCTGGTAATTTTGCTAAGTTTCTGGCTCCAATTTTATCTTGTGGCCATGAGTTCCGCCGACTAATTGTGCTTAGTGTGAATCCGTCTTTCATGAATTTTAAATATCTCATCGCTGATTCCCCCCCCCCCATTGATAAAATCCACCCTCCCAGAGCGGTAGGGGACCCTGGGCAGTTTGGCGCTGACCTCAATGAAGGTACTGTTCCACACCCGCGCTCGGACGCTGACAGTCGTCGTGTGCCTGGAGTCCCAGATGGGGCACTGGAACCAGATGCAGCGAGACGATCCCTTAGAGCAGCTCTGGGGGCGGGAAACAAAAAAGGCCGGCGTGTTAGTGGGCGGGTCCAGGCGGATGTACATAGGAGGGTCTTCCCAAGGGGAAGCGTCTCTGTGTCAGAGCAGCTCGCCCAGACAGTAACGCCCATTCCAGGCTGGGCTAGGAGCTTGTGAAGAGAAGTCGGGGTGGGGGAGCTTCTGAAATGAATCAGTGCTGGATGGTTAGGCCCCAACACCATGTGCAGAATATCGATCAGTTACAGGCCTGATCAGCTGACACTCTTTGACACCACACCATTGTAACCCAGACAACTGCCCTGGGAGACAACTGCCCTCTAGTGGGCACAATCAGAACTACTCAACCACGTGTCATAGATCTCACACTGCCACCAGCTAGCGGAGATTCCCCCTGAGCTCTTGGGCTTCTGGAGCAGGCGGAGCTGGGGTCTATCCCACAGTCATTGTCTCTGGAGCTGGGGTCCGTGAAGGACAGGCTATGGATTGCGCTGGGTGTGTGAATAGTGAGACACTACCAGGGACCCCAGCTCTCCTCCGGGGCCGGGCTGAAGCTGCCAGGAGACCAGCACTCACCAGCAATGTTTCCGACTTGGCTTTCTTGGAGGTGGCGAGGATGACGGGGGGCTCGGCCTGCAGCGCCGTCTCCAGGTCGCGCTTCTGCCGGGCAGAGCTGGAGAGGAGCTGGAAAGGAAGGGAGTCGGTTACACGCCGCCAGGGTCTGCACCTCATGGAGGGCTGAGCACGCTCCCGCACCCGAGGATGCAAAGCACGGCAGAGGGCGCACGGGTTGGCGACCCCTCACCAGGGCTCAGAGTCCCACCTCTCTGGGGCAGAGGACTCAGGAACCATTGGCCTGACTCCCTCCGCAGGAGGTCGCCCTGGAGGCTCTGCCCTGGAGGTGTTGACTGCAGGCCATGCCTTCAGCTGCTGCCCACCGGCGCTTTGGGATGGCACTGCTCCCCGCGGGGCGGTGGGTGCCGATGCAGTGCAGCGAAGTTTAGCTGCGGGGTGGGGAGAGGCAGGGCGGGGCAGGGCAGGGCGAGCCAGAGAAGAGGCACGAAAGGCGAGGGAGAGGGCGCGCGCCGGCGGGCAGGGAGCAGGGGCCGCCGAGCCTGACTCACGCTGAGGTTGAGGGGATTGATGACGCCCCCTGGTGGCTGGCAGTGCTGGTCCCCGTTGCCGCTCACGAGGATCTCCGTGGGGTAGAGCAGCCACTTGCCGTTGTGGATTTCGTAGGGCCACTCGAAGCCCAGGACGATGGTGCCCAGCGAGCCCAGAGACTCCCCCTTGGTGCTCACCTGCAATGCAAAGCCCAGTTGGGACGTGGCCACCGCCTTCTCCCCCGGCGACGCTTCCCCATCGGGAGCCTCCGTACCTGGAAATTGAAGCTGACCGGGCTCCCCACATCCAGCTCGCTCTTCATGGCGGACTCCCCCATCACCTTCCCGCTGAAGGATGTCTGGAGGGGTGGGGACAGCCTGCCAGGGAGGAGAGCAGCTGGGGTCAGCAAGGCAGAGCAGGGGAGACTGCTGCTGGGGGAGGGGACGTGGGGCGTAGGAAAGGGTGATTTGCTAGGGTCTGCACGAACTAGGTTCAGAGCTGGAAGTGGCAGGCTGGGCTTGGGGGGCCCTGGGCTGGGCTGGGCTGAGCTTGGGGGGCCCTGAGTGGGACCCAAGCCGGGCATAGAGGGCCTAGACCCAGGAGCAGCCCAGGCTGGGTAGATGGGAGCAATGCCTGGGGGTACGCAGGGTCTCTTCATCAACGACTGTAGAGGAAACACACTCCTAGGCTAGGCCTCTCGGTTCCATGCAGCCCCAGCCCCTGCCCAGATTCCTTATGCGGTGCCAGCCTCTGAGCAGGGCGAGATGTGGGGCCCAGCACCCGCAATTCACACTCCCTGCACCCAGTTCTCACTGGAGACAGAGGTGCCTCCCGGGGGCTGGAATTCAGGGACCCAAGAACCCGCTGAACCGAGGGGGGCACGAGCCCCAGAGATACGCACAGGGTGAGAGACGCCTGGACGGTGTAGTCCACCTGCAGCTCGGCCCACACTGGCTGCAGATCCTCCTGGTAACTCAGCCTGCCGAGACAGGGCAGAAATAACATCACGGGACAGTTCGTACCTCGCTCCCTGCTCTGGCTACAGACACACACGAGGTTCTTCAGCCAGACCCCATCAGCCTCAGAGCCCGTAGGGGGCGCTCTCCGAGCCCTGAGCCGATGCTGACCCCAGAGCAGCGCTAAGGGGTGCTGCGCTGCAGGGAACGGTGAGGGTGGCTCAGTAGGGGGTCACTCTGCGCAGACTCCAATTCCCCAGCACAGGGATAGGGGGCGCTGTAGGTGCGATTTTTCAGAGTTGGTCCTGACTCCTTGTGCTCATTAAGGGCCCCATGGCACTTCTGGACGCCCCGGTGTCCCGGCATAACTCAGGGAGTTGCATTCCACCTGGCCTGCGGTGTCAGCTGGCTACAGCATTCGCTTTCCTTTCCTTTCCGAGACTGTTGCGTGACATTGCTACGTGCTGTTAATTAACTGCCCCGTTCCGCCCCAGAGGCGGCCGCCTTTCTGCAGCAGGCGAAGCAATCCCTGGGCATCGATGGCAAAGTGCTGCAGGGGTGTGTGTGTATGGGTGGGGGGGGTGGATTGTTCACTATGGAAAGGCCTGGCCTTGCTTCCCGTTTTCTCTCCTGCCAGCTGAGCTGCTTCCCAAGCTGGTTTAACTCACTCATCCAGCACCCCTCCCCCTTGCAGATGGACCCTCCAGCCCCCGCGCCCTTCCAGGGGACTCACGTGGAGAGCTGGAGCTGAGCCATGACCTCGCGGGTGTCCAGGGTGATGCCGATGGCTTCGAAGGTGATGATCAGCTCTGCCTGCACCAGAGGGGACAGAGCGCTGCAAGGCCAAGTCCCCGTGGGGCCGTGCCTGGCACGGGCTTTACCAACCAGGCTGGGGGCCCCCCCACCCCCCTGCCACAGACCCCTGGGGTGGGGGAAGCTCAGATCTCATTGGAACGCCCAGTGATCACCCACCGTGGAGGCCGTGGACACCTGGCACCCACCCCCACCCACGCTGCAAGAGTCCCAAGGCGGTTGGTGCCCACAGGCTGCCATGCCCTCCCCCAGGCTTCTTGTCCTAGCCCCACCCCCACGGGACTGTGCCCTCTGAGCTGGGGCGCGGGGGGCCAGACGCCGCTCACCCTCTGGTTCTTCTTGAAGGGGTTTCCCAGGTCACACAGCACCGTCTCCTCAAAGGTGCAGGCGCCGTTCTGTGGGGCGGTCAGGGGAAGGGGGCGTCACCATCCGCTCGGCCCCTGAGCCCAGTCCCGCCACAGAGAAACCTCCCCATCCGACCGCCTCCTGCCCCATCCCTGTGCCCTGCCGACCCCCGCAGCCCAGAAAGGACACCACCCCCGCAGCTGCCCACCTCTACCTGAGAAGCAGACGCACCAGAGGGCCGACCCTGGACCTTGATACCCACCAACCCCGAGGGTGCCCCCTACCCCATCCTGGGAGCAGTGCATGGAGAGAAGGGAAAGCCAGTCCCATATCCCACCCCCCAGCCCATACCCAGGGTGTTGGCCTCCAGGCTGCCTGCCCCTCCCCCCCCCCGCAGTGCTAACTGGCCCCAGTTGGGGGCACAGGCCCCCTCTCTCCACTGCATGCTGACCGGGTGCCCCTCGCCAGCCCCGATGGGGCACGGCACCTCACAGCGGTGGGCACAAGCCACGTCCCTCCTGCCCTCCCGAGGGGCTTTAAACCAGGACAGAAACCAACCTGGGGCTCTGACGGACGGACAGACAGAGGGCTCCTCCACCTGCAGGGCTGGGGGGACGGCTGGTGCACCCCCCCACAACACACGCTTTGCATCCTACCCAGCTGGGCCCAGTCCCGAGCTCTCTCCCCCCAGCACGCTCCTGGGCAGGGCGCGGCTGCCGGAGGGGAAGAGGGGCTCGGCACAGAGGAGGAAGCGGGGAGAGGGGTTGGCACAGAGGAGGGGAGGGGGGAGGATGCCATGGCAGCAGGGGGCGCGTCCCTCTCAGCGCGGAGCGAGCAGGGAGAGCAGCAGGGGAAGGGGGCTCCTTACGGGCCGGACGGAGGAGGGCAGCAGGGCGGGGGGCACGGTGATGTTGAGCTGGGCCTCGTGGGCGTCCTCGCCATTGGTGCCCGTCGAGGGGGCGTTGGTGACGTTGATGCTCAGGTGCAACTTCCGGACGTCCCGGCTGTACTGCAGCACCTGGGTCCCATTCAGCCTGTGCCGGAGAAGGGACAGCGCTCAGCCCGGGGGCACCGGCCCCCCCAGCCACACGGGCAGGGGGTGGCCCTCCCCCGACAAGAGGGGAACTTCTCGGGGTCCCACCAGGAAAGAGACACCCCCGCCCCCTCCCCCCGCCAGCAAGCGGGGCCCAGGCAGGGATGCTTTTCCCCCAGGGGGCTGTTTAGGCCGAGGCAGCTCCCCGCCTTGAGCTGGCTCCGTGTGCCCGGGAAGGGGGCAGGGTGCCCGGGCAGGCTCCGCCCGTCTCTCACCGGGGCAGCGGCTGGTTCTGCTCGTTGACGAAGGCGCATTGCAGCTGCAGGTTGCTGTTGCACTTGTTGTCCAGGCCGCATTCTTTCTGGAAGTTAATCTGACAACGGCATTGGTCATTCACTCGGGCTGCCCCCAACCAGCACGGGGCCACCCACCCCGCTGGGTGGGCTCTGACCCCAAGACCATCAGCATTCAAGCACGGGGCCTCGGCCGCTTGAGCTGAGGGAGGCACTCCATCAACCAGCAGCAGCAGTAGGCCGTTATCCTGTAGTTGTCCTGGCTACTCGCAGGGATGTGGCACACCCCGGCGCTAGTGTGGATTATGGAAACGTGTTTCCGTTAGAAACCTCCCCATGGAGGGGCAGGTCCTCAGAGTTGGGGGCAGGTCGGTTATACCCAAGCAGCCGACGCCTCCCTCCTATTCACATGGAGCCAGTGTCAGAGCCGGGAATGGAACCCAGGAGTCCTGGCGCCCAGTTCCCCTGCTCAGACCCCATCACCACAAGCCTCCCCTCCCACACCCTGCAGCGGAAACAAGTTCAAAGCCCTTAAAGCAGGCGCTGCGTAGGTGCCATTCCCCTCGGCCCGGCCCAGCTCCCCCCTTCCCTGTCTCTCGGCAGCTCCGGCCCACCTCGGTGTCGTTCTTCCGGGGCTGATCCTCATTCAGGACGGGGAAGGCGCTGAGAGAGCGGGGCCCCAGCTGGAAGTGCCTGGGTTTCTCCTCCAGGGAGTAGCTCATGTGCAGAACTATGGGATGCAGCTTGTCCCGGATGTTCTCCTGCAGGAAGGACGGCGGGTTTCATTGCCGGCAATAATGGCGATCCCGCCCTGGCTGGCGCAGATCAGACCCAGCGACTGGGGCTCCCTGGGGGCCGGATCCTCCAGGCCCCCCCCATGCACGCTGAGTCCCAATTTAGACAGGGGGTTCTTGGCTTTTCTGCTGCCAGACCCTCCCCTCCCTTGGCTCTTTATTCCCAGATCCTGCAAGGCCCCTCCACGCCCCAGCCCCAGGTACTCAGCTGTCTCGCACCTGTTGCCAAAACTTCACACCCTCCCCGCGCTGCCCTGTGCTAAGCTCGGTCTGCGCTGCCCTCTGCTCACCAGCAGGAGGAGCTGCAGGTCATGGCACTTGGCGGCTGGCATGGTGAAGACGCCCTTGTAAACAGCGGAGTGCGTCCCGGCAAACCTCACCCGGGCCGGGCGCCGGTCTTTGTCAGCCTCCAGGGTGTACAGCAGGCCTGGAGAGAGCAGGGGGGGAGAGGGGGCTCAGAGATCCCCCCCACCCACAGCAGGGCAGCCAGGCCCCATGGAGACACAGGGCAAACGCTGGCCATGCACACACACAGATGCTCGCCTTGCACACGGGCACACGCACAGACACACCCCATTACAAGTGCACGTGCAGCCCCCCATCGCACACGCACACACCAGTGCGTGCACCATTACAAGCGCACGTGCACCCCCGCACCCCCCATCGCACACGCACACACCAGTGCGTGCACCATTACAAGCGCACGTGCACCCCCCATCGCACACGCACACACCAGTGCGTGCACCATTACAAGCGCACGTGCACCCCCCATCGCACACGCACACACCAGTGCGTGCACCATTACAAGCGCACGTGCACCCCCCATCGCACACGCACACACCAGTGCGTGCACCATTACAAGCGCACGTGCACCCCCCATCGCACACGCACACACCAGTGCGTGCACCATTACAAGCGCACGTGCACCCCCGCACCCCCATCGCACACGCACACACCAGTCGTGCACCATTACAAGCGCACGTGCCCCCGCACCCCCATCGCACACGCACACACCAGTGCGTGCACCATTACAAGCGCACGTGCACCCCCGCACCCCCCCATCGCACACGCACACACAAGTGCGTGCACCATTACAAGCGCACGTGCACCCCCGCACCCCCCCATCGCACACGCACACACCAGTGCGTGCACCATTACAAGCGCACGTGCACCCCCGCACCCCCATCGCACACGCACACACCAGTGCGTGCACCATTACAAGCGCACGTGCACCCCCCATCGCACACGCACACACCAGTGTGTGCACCATTACAAGCGCACATGCACCCCCATCGCACACGCACACACCAGTGCGTGCACCATTACAAGCGCACATGCACCCCCATCGCACACGCACACACCAGTGCGTGCACCATTACAAGCGCACGTGCACCCCCCATCGCACACGCACACACCAGTGCGTGCACCATTACAAGCGCACGTGCACCCCCGCACCCCCCATCGCACACGCACACACCAGTGCTCACCATTACAGCGCACTCACCCCCGCACCCCCATCGCACACGCACACACAGTGCGTCACCATTACAGCGCACGTGCACCCCCGCACCCCCATCGCACACGCACACACCAGTCGTGCACCATTACAAGCGCACGTGCGCCCCCGCACCCCCATCGCACACGCACACACCAGTGCGTGCACCATTACAAGCGCACGTGCACCCCCGCACCCCATCGCACACGCACACACCAGTGCGTGCACCATTAAGCGCACGTGCACCCCCGCACCCCCATCCACACGCACACACCAGTGCGTGCACCATTACAAGTGCACGTGCACCCCCGCACCCCCATCGCACACGCACACACCAGTCTCACCATTACAAGTGCACGTGCACCCCCGCACCCCCATCGCACACGCACACACCAGTGTGTGCACCATTACAAGCACACGTGCGCACCGGTGCACACGCACCCACACCCATTACTCAGGCACGCAAACGTGCACCTGCACCACTGAACACCCCCCCAGTGCCCACGTGCAAACACACTCACCGTTGCACACACACACACCACGGCATGACCTGCACATGTGCACACACATATACACCACTGCACGCATCCACACGCTAGTGCTCCTGTGTGAACACATCCGCCATTGCATGCAAGGGAGACGCCCACTGCTGCTGCAACCCCCCCCCCCCGTTTCTACAGTTCAGTGGTGCTGGGGCAGCCCCCTGGATCCTGGGAACCCCTCCCCCAATCGCCTTTTCCCCATGCATCTTGCTGTCCCACCACACCATTGCTCACACTGGGCGTGTGCACACCCGCTGGTCACTTTGCAGCACATTTGCTTCTCACTCAGGTGTGTGTGGCCACGTACGCTCACCCACCCCCTCCCGCCCCAGCCCACTCACTGATTTGCTCCTTGTACGTGGGGTCCCCAGCACTCTGGTTGTAGGAGAAGCAGATCTGCACCTGGATGCTGCGGGGGCGAGAGAGGAGGCCGGGGTCAGCGACAGCAGGATGGGGCAGGATCCCAGACACGTCCCATTCGCTCTGGCCGCAGACACAGAGCCCACAGGGCTGCTACGGGAACAGGGACCGCCAGGGCTCTTCCTTGCCCACGCAGAGCTAGCCCCATGAGCCCCGGGGCGCTATTCAGGGGCCCTGCCACCCGGGGGGGCACGGATGACGATTTTGGGGGGACCCTTACCAGGAGTGTGGGGTGCACTTGGCCGGGTCCACCAGGCTGGGGCTCACCGTGAAGGTTTTGTTCAAGATGTTGATCACAGGTCGAGCTCTGGGCAGGCAGAGAAAGGGAAGAGATCAGCCGAGCTTCTCTCCCACCAGGAACCGCCGCCAGCTCTGCCCACCAGCGCCAGGAGCTGCCTGACGCCACCCTGCTCTGCAGCAGCCCAGTGCTCCCACCTCCCAGCAGGGGGTGGGCTTTGGGGGGCACAGTGGAGGGTTTTGGGTGGCGGTGAGGGCAGTCTCTGTCCCATATAGAGGTTGGGATTCTCCTTTCTCATCACACCATTCATGGCTCCTTCTCAGCGCAAGGCCCCTCCGCGGCACAGGGGACCCAAAATCTTGGGGTTCAGGGCTAGAGGGCTCAGGGAGCTGGCAGAGGGATATTGAGCCTTTCCCCTGCTTTCAATGCACCCCAAGACAGGAGTGGCTGAAAGAGGCCCGCTGTCTGGTCAGGGGGCCTGGGTGACATGAGCGCGGAGGGATTTGGGGCACCAGCCCTGTCCTTGTTCGGACTGATGGTTGGCGAAGGGCTCAATGGGCCATGGAGGCGAATGCCCCACTGGCGCCTGTAGGGGGCAGTTGTGCAATACCCTGAGTCTCCCTCTTTCGCCACCCCCAGATCCCCTCAATCCCACCCCGTACCTACACCTGCTTCTGACTCCTGTTCAAGCAGAGCAGCTGGTGCCTCTGCTGAAGGTCCCAGGTTCAATCCCCACTGAAGCCACCAGAGCTCCCTCCCGCCCCACACACACTACACCCCATGCTGAGCCCCACACAATCCCCCTGTACTTGTGGGTCCAGAGACCAGCCTCAGAACAGCACCTGCCTCTAAGAAGCCACCCCCGGCCTACCCCTGCAGGGGAAAGGTTGCCCTGGCAGCATGCCCTGTCCCAACCCCAAACCCCCTTACCTGAGCAGAGCTATCTGCTCTGACAAGCTCCCCACTAGCAGATCCGGGTAGGAATTTCCGTCTACGTCCAGCCCCCCACTCAGGGAGTACCCGAAGGTCTGGATGCCGGACGGGCCCAGCTCTGCCCCGCTGATCACCTGCAGGGCAGGGGATGGGGGAGGAAAGGGAGTCACCCGTGGCCGCTCCAGGTCCACCACCACCCCGCACCCCTGGGCCAGCAGTTCAGTGGGGTTTGGGGCAGGACCCTGGGGACATCCTGGGAATCCCAACTGCCTTTGCCCCATCCCACCACCCTTCTAGGACCATCCCATCCCACAGCCATCATCCCACCCACAGATTAGGGAGGGGAGCATTCTCCAGCCTGTTCCTGATGCCAAAGCTTCCCTGGTGGGGGAGTGGGGAGGGACTGTGCCAGGTGGGGCCACCCCACAGCTCTCTCCCTGGCCAGAACTTGGCTCTGCCCAATGGAATTCGCCCTTTGCAAAGCGCCCCCTAGGGGGGACATGGGGCGCGCAAGGTGCCTTTACCTGCCGGGGCTCGGCCACCAGCCCCCCTGAGCTGCTGTGGTAGATGTAAACCTTGCCAGGGCCCTCGAAGGGAGCCCCAATGGCGATATCTGTGGGGAGAGGCAAAGGGTCACACAAGCTCCACCAGAGACCCCAGCTCCTCCAGCCCCACAGAAGCCATCTCCAGCACCTCACTAAATCCCCGCCACTCATGAGCCACCCCAAAGGCACCCCATTCCCCCAACCCCACAGACCACCCTGAGCCCCCCAACCCCCACACCAGCCCCAGTGCCACCCCATACCTCCACACCACCCCCTGAATCCCCCAAACCACCCCGAGCCACTCATACCCCCCAAACTCCACACCTGCCCCAGTGCCACCCCATACCCCCCAACCCCATACAACCTCATACCCTGACTAAACCCTATGCCACTCCCAGAGCCCCCCAATGCCACTGCACACCCAGACTAAACCCCACGCACACCAGAATCCCCTGATCCCACCCCAGAGCCAACCCATACCTCCACACCACCCCTGAGCAACCCATACCCCCAAACTCCACACCACCTCCTGAATCCCCCAAACCCACACTACCCCGAGCCACCCCATAGCTCCCAAGCCCCACACCATCCTGAGCTCCCCCATACCCACACAACCCCCCCACACACCAGAGTCCTTTAATCCCACCCGAGCCTTCTCATACCCCCAGCGCACCCCCAAACCCCACCGCACCCCAAACCCTGCAACCACCCCCCCACCACACCCTCCCAGCTACCTCTTCCAAGAGCCACCCTTATACCTCCCTGGCCCCATGGCACTCTAGTGCCCCGCGGACACTGAGTGAGATCTCCCATCACAAGCCCCCCGAGTGGGAGAGGAAGCCCCACGCACCCTGGAAGCCGTCCTGGTTGACGTCCCCGATGCTGGCCACAGCAAAGCCGAAGGCTGAGTTGCTGGGTCCCTTCAGAACCAGGCTGGACCAGTTCTGGAAGCGGCCGGCCTCATTCATGTACACGTAGACGGCGCCACCCACCTCTTGCTTCCTCTCAAAGTAGTACGGGGCCCCAATCACCAGGTCCTGCCACCTGCCAGCGGGGACAGGAAGGGCGGGGTCAGGGCCAAGGGGCAACAGCAGGGCCAGGGGCCAAGGACGACTATGATGGTGGATCAGACCTGGTCAGTGCTCTGGAGACCTCCGCGCCCCAAAGAGATGGGCTATGGAGATCCCCCACCAAAGCTACAGGCTTCAGACACACCCCCTCAAAGTTTTGGGCCATGGAGATCTCACAAAGCTCTGGGCCCCCCTCAAAGCTGTGGGCTATGGAGATCTCCCAAAGCTATGGGCCCCCCTCGAAGCTATGGAGATCTCCCCAAAGCTATGGGGATCCCTCTCCTCAAAGCTATGGAGCCGCCCCAACTCCAAACTCTGGGCCCCCATTGAAGCTATGGGCTATGGAGATCCCCCCGAGCTATTGGCTACAGAGACCCCCTCAAAGCTATGGGGGCCCCCCAAGCTATGGGCTGTGGAGACACCCTCAACGCTATGGAGCCCCCTCAAAGCTATGGAGATCCTGGGTCTCCCTGTGGAGTCACCAACCCATGCAGGTCTCCGTCACGCAGAGGAGCCCCTCTCCTCAGGCCGCTCCCACTCGCGGGGCTGCAGAGCTCACCCATCATTATCGAGGTCCGCCAGGGCGATGGCGCTCCCGAAGTAGGAGCCCACCTGCTCCCCAGGCAGCACCAGGCTCTTCTCCAGGGTGTTGCGGGTGTCCGTCAGCAGGTACACGGCGCCCGCGTGCTGGTGGCGGGGAGCTCCAGTGACAAGGGTCACCTGGCTCTGGTGCAGGACGGCGCTGGCGGCTTGGACCGTGTAGCCTGGAGCAGGGTGGGGATAGGCGTCAGGCCTTGGGAGCTGCAGGGCCCCTCGCTGGGAGGGGGGGGGGGGGAATCACAACCTGGGGGGATCCAGTGCAGTGGGGATCCCAGGCAAAGCACAGCTGGGACGGACCCTAGCTAGCAGCTACGGACAGCTGCATTGTCCAGAGTGTGAGTCTTTGCATGGACAAAGAACTGGTGCCAACCCTGGTCCCAAACCTGAATGGACCCATTGGGGGGGACAGGGCTGTGTGGGCCAAAGCACCAAAGCGCACTGGAGTCTTAAACAGGCTTTAGACCCGCCAGACTGATCCCCTGGCAAGCTGATGCCCTCTCTGTACCACCAGTGCACTTGTAGGCTGCCTAGTGGCAGGGCAAGCTGCCCCCCTAGCCCTGACCTAGAGGGACCCACCCTCGGCATGAGCTGTCTCTGGTCCAGGCAGCCCTTGGCCTCCCTGCTGAGGCTGACAGCCAAGGGGACAATTAGCAGCAGTGGGTTTGGCGTGGAGGATGCTGGGAAGTGGACCGAGGCCCAGCAAGCTCATGGCACGTAGGCTGCAAAGGCCCCCACCAAAGACACCGTCGCCAGCATCCTCCTGGCCCGGGGGAGATTTCACTGCCAGCCCCAGAGGGTCAGGGAAGCGTCTGGGCTTTAAAGGTGCTTCCCTGTTCCAGTTCCCATTTCAGCATGTGTCTGTGGGGAAAGGGGCATCAGAGCGGGATTCCCTCTGGCTCCCAGCCCGCTAACAGCAATGGGTGAAGCACCCCGCTAGGCTGGACCTGAGTGGCATGACTCTGATGCCGGGAGCACCTGGGCTTGCCAGCAGGAAGGCCAGGCCCACCGCGCTGCATCGGAACTCCCTCGCAGGAACAATGAGGAAACCAGACAGCCAGTTTACACCTGGGGAAACTGAGGCACAGAGCGGCTGTCTGACTTGCCCAGGGATCCTATAGGGAGACAGTGGCAGAGCTGGGACTAGAACCCTGGTCTCTTGCGGCCCTGTGCCCTTCTCTATCCCCACCCCCCACGTTGTTACATGGGGAGGGCAAGGGGGTGGAGGGAGGGGGGGAGGAAGGGGGGGAGGACGTCCCTTCCAGACGTAGCGAAAGGTACCTATGTAGATGTTGCCGTTGTCATGGTTGGGGTAGGAGAAGTCGACCAGGTCCCAGCTATCTCGCTGCAGAACGTAGTTCGTCCCTGCAGCCGGGGAGGGAAACATGGAACAGTTCAAGCCAGAGGCAGGTGGTAGCAGACACAGGAATCTCTCCCCATCCCCATCCCCATCCCCAGCTGCTTCCTGGCCTGTGCTACCTCCCCGGCACAGTCCCTGCCCCTTTCCCTCCCCACCAGCCCTCCGCCCCTGGCAGAGCCACTCAATACTCGTGGTGTCGCCGGCTGAGCATCCCTCGGGCAGCTGCGGCCACATCAAGGGTACGTCTATACTGCGCTAAAAACCCTGCGGCCCCGAGTCTCAGCCTGGATCAGCTAGGTTGGCCTCGGGCTGCGGGAACCTGCAGCGTAGACCTTTGGGCTCAGGCTGGAGCCAGGGCTCTGGGACCAAGCCAGGCCTCTGGGACCCTCCCCACTTGCGGGGTCTCCAAGCCCAGGCTCCAGCCCAAGTCCACAGACCAACACTGCAATTTTACAGCCCCACGGTCCGAGTCAGTTGATCCGGGCCAGCTGCGGCCGTGCCGTGGGCCTTTCTCGCGGTGTAGACGTACCCAGAGAGGCCGCGTCGGTCCAGGCAGATGGGCTGGGGGAAGGGCAGTGCCGGGGTGAGGGGGGGGAGACCCAAAGCAGCCGGCGGCAGCACGGACCTTGCCAGTTGTAGGCGCCCGGGGCCCCGAAGTAGACCGTGTTGGCGGTGAAGCCGCCGCTGGTGCCCATCTGGCACATGCCAGTCTCTTCGGTGTTGGAGTTGCACATCTCATTGTGGTAGGTCTGCCAGTCGTCAGCCAGCTCCAGCTGCAGGTCATTGCCGCGGACGTAGCACTTCCCCACCATGCGCTGCTGGTCTTCGTTGCCAGACAGCAGGACCCTAGTGTATCGGTGAGCGCAGGCCTGGGGAGCCAGGAGCAACCGGGGTGAGTACTAAGCACGCTGCTGTCTGGGGCTCGCGGGGCACTGGGGCTACTGCCTAGGGGTTGGTATCCTGGGTCAGCCCAATGGGCCAGAGCTAGCCACCTCCAGCGACACTAGTCCGTATTCCCAGATATCCCACCTCCTACCCAGAGCAGGGGAGAGCAGAAGCCCATATACCGCGGTATCCCAGTCCTGCCACTCCTGCTCAGAGCAGCAGTCCGTATGCCCCCATACCCCACCTCCTGCCACTCCAGGTCAGACCAAGGTCAATCTTCTCCAGTTCCCCACCTCTTGCCCTACTGGATTGGAGCAGTTGTCCATCCTCTGCTGTGTCATACTTTGTCCTGTACCAGATCAAACCAACAGCACGGCAAACCTGATACCCACCTCCAATCAAACCATAGCTCGGGCCCACCTATTCCAGCGTCCGGCCTCCTGCCCCCAGAAATCAGACCAACAGCTCCTCCTGTCTCCTGCCATATCTAATCAGACCCCTGAGTCAAGGCCACCATCTCTTCAAGCCAGAAGAAGGCCTAAACCCTCATGAGACTCTGCAATGCTGTACCCTGGCGTAAGGTGGGATCCCTTCCTGATCCCAGCTGGCAACCAGCATGAGCCCTGGCGCCTGGCAATCACCAGGCCCTTGGAATTCATTTATTACTATTATTTGTATTCCCACAGTCCCAGCCACGGACCCGACCGTGCCAGGTCTGCAGCAGAACAAGAAGTGTAACTGCAAACGCTATCCTCATTTCAGCCCAATGCATGCCGGGTAGAAGCAAAAGCTGCATTACCCTTCTTCCCCTCTCTGGTGGGCTGGGAAGGGGAAGCACGCGTACGCCATGCTAACCCAGCGTGGCCCTTTGGGCTCAAACAGTGCCGGCTCATCCATTTAGATTCCCAGGTTCGAGCCCCGCACCCAGCCAGACGAAGGCATAGAAATCATAGGACCGGAAGGGACCTCGAGAGGTCTTCTAGTCCCGTCCCCTGCGCTCAAGGCAGACTAAGCTAAACACTGTTACACAGAGGGAGAGATCCAGCCAGAACCAGCAACGCTGGCAGCCTCTAGCAATCGTACTTACATAACCCTATTAGTGCGTTATCTGAGCACCTTTGGTCTATTTATCCTTGTGAGGTAGGGCAGCGAAAAACAGAGGAGGACCTCAGAGGCTAAGCGATTTGCCCAAGGTCACACAAACAGTCTGTGGCAGAGAAGGGACATGACCTCTGGTCTCCCAAGCCCTAACCACTGGCCAGCCTTCCTTTCCTCTCCTCTCCCACCTCATGAGATTGTTCCCTGGCCGTAGCCCCCTAGGAGCCAATGGGGTTGGTTGTGGGACATTCTGGGTGGAACGGTCTGCTGTTCCCTCAGCGCCAGTAGTCGCAGACATCCCCGTTCCGCCCCTCGGGGACCTGCCCTCCCAATCACAGCTGTGGAGATATAGCTCCTGTTACCCAAAGTGCCGTCTTGCCTTTCGGCTAATTTAATTGAGGCCTTTTGAACCAATTTGAGGATTGGCAGATGAGGGGGAAGATGGAAACTGCAGCTCCACGAGCCAGGCAAAGATCTGCCTTGTGAGATGCCAGGGGCAAGGACAGGGGTGTTTGCATGCAAGCTGGGGTGCTCAGCGCATATAGCCCCCGATATCCCACTCCTCCCACTCCAGGTCAGAGCAGCAGTCCACATAGCCCGAGAGCCCACTGCTTAGAAGCAGTGCCAGTGGATGCATGCGTATCGGAGCATGCATGTACAAGAGGGATGGGTTGGATGCCAGTGGGCACGGCATAGGTGTGAATGCCCATGCAAAAGATCGGGGTACGTGCATACCTAGGCATGCTCACATGTGTGCAGGGAAGCATGGGTGGGCATTGGCTGGGTAGTTGCGAGGATGGCAGCCGCAGCAGGAAAGCCAAGGACGGAAGGACCATGGAGTCTGAACAACGCTGAACATAATTAGTTCCATTTTACAGATGGGCGAACTGAGGCAAGTGATTTGACCATAGTCAAGATCAGGGCAGGAATAGAACCCAGGAGTCCTGATGCACTCCACTGCAGGGGTCTGATTCCCCACCGTCTGTGCACCATGTCTTGCCAGTTACACACCTGCTGGGGGGAGAGGGGGGTTGGCACGGAGCCTGCGGGTGAAGCCGACACTCCGCTCTCTCTGCTCTGGGTCAGATCCCTCCTGGGGCTCAGTCACCTTCAGGGGAGCGCACGGAGTTACGCCAGGGGTGAACATGGCCCGCTATGGATACGGCACAGACATCAGGCACCAAGGCCGTGACACCAGCCGCAAATGTGCTTTAAAGAAGTCAGATGGGTCTGGAACTAGAATCCCTGGGGAAAGGGGGGACAGAGGTGGTAGGGGGAAGCTTCCGGCAAATGGAGTAGGGGCAGAGGAATAGGAGGAGTCGGGGGAGCCCCCACAATATTTCCATTGCGGGGTCGCTAGCCTTCCCTGACCTCCGCCAGGTCTGCCCCCCATTCCTGAGCCTCTGAATTGGGGTTTCGGACAGAGAGCGCGAGCTCAGGAGCAGCCTGGGACCCCTGCCAGCAAAGGGATAGGAGAGAGAGCGAATGATCCATAGCCCATCACCGAGGTAACTGGGCCCTTTAGGCATCTATGGGATGATTCTCCATCGCCCCGCGCCTCAGACGTTAACTACACAGGGCAGAGCGGGTGTCAAACGTTACCACGGAGCAGACGGTGAACCATCTGCGTGCTATAAACAACGGGGCAACGGACGGCCAGACCCACAGATTCCCGCAGAGCCCAGTTATCACTGGGATGGGCCACGGACCTCCCAGAGACCGAGCAGAGAGAACTCTGCAGCCAGCCACTCAGCAGAACTGCAACCGGGAACGGTTAAACCCTGCTCCGCTCTGAATCCCCCAGGGGCTGCCTTCCCCTTTTAGTTCTGGATTGTTTCACGTTCTTTCCCACGCGGCCTCAGCCAGAGGCCAACGGGCTGAGCAGCTGGCACCGAGGCTGTTGCCGGGGTTTGGTTTCCTCCAGGCTGCCATTGCAAGCTGGAAACCGGACCCTCGCTCGGCGAAAGCCCAGCGAAAAGGAACGGATGGGAGCGAAGCCGACGAGACGGTGAGGGAGGGGTGGCGCAGAGAGAGGGAGGCAGTTGCATGGTTTCAAGCCCTAGAGAGAGCTACACCTCTGCAACTAACAGGCACTTGCCTTCTCCTTTAATGCAGAGGGGCTGCCCACAGAGCCTACAGATCCCAGCATGCAGTGCTCCATGCAGCAGGCCCTCCGCAGCAAGCTGGCGCATTGCATGCTGGGACTTGTAGTCTCCACAGGCCGCACTTCTCTACCAAGTGTAATTGCAGCTGCAACCTGCTCCATTACATTGCTCTTCTGCAGCCCCTCCTCCTCCATTCATTAATTCACCCTCATATTCCCCCACCCTGTGGGGGCAGTCAGTATCGTCAGTCTCATTTTACAGATGGGCAAACTGAGGCAAGTGATTTGACCATAGTCAAGATCAGGGCAGGAATGGAACCTAGGAGTCCTGATGCACAGGAGTCTGATTCCCCACCGCCATGCACCAGGTCCTGCCAGTTACACACCTGAGCAAAGTGCCACCAGCGAGTGACCTGGGGGCATTTCCCACCCACTTTGCCTGGGCATGAAGCCTGACACCGAGGCCGGCAGTGGAGAAGCAGGCCTGGTGTCCCCAGCTCTAAACACTAGGCCATGCTCCCTTCCCTCGTTTTGTATTTGCTTTGCACTGGTGTAAATGCTGTGCAAGGCACGTGCAATGGTGAATCGTGTCCTAGGTGCGACGCTCAGGCTCCCCCACCAAAGCCCCTCAAGGTATCCCAGCGGGCCACACTCACCAGCACTCTCCCCGAGGGCTGTCTCTGGCTAGCGATGGTCACCCCCAGCCACATGTCCTCAATGATGTTCTTCCGTGGTTCACCTGGGCACATGGAGCAGAGAAGACAATGACGCACGAGCAGTTATGGCACGAGAATGCGTAGCCCCCTCCCCCACTCATGTGCCTGCCCTCAAATAATGCAATCGGGACATGGATCCCTCCAGCAAAAGACCCTCCCGGGCAGGGCTGGAGTCCCCCAGCCCTCTGCAGCATGTCATTGCCATGAGTGAGTCACCACAGAAGAGCATGGGACAGTGCACAGGGAAAGCCCAGGACTGGGAAAACATGGGGCTGCCTGCCCAGGAGAGCATGCTACTGTGGGGCAGGGCTGGGGGAACAGACAGAGCTTGGGGTGGAGAAGGGAACATGTACGCAGTGAGAAAGGAGTTGTTCTCTCCTCCCTTTCGGAAGCCCTGCCCTGGACAGCCCGTTATCCAGCTTGGGTTCAGCTCTTAAATGGTTAACAGGACCCTTGCTGCACCCCGTGGCTCCCCCGTCTGCCAGCGGAGAGAGGACAGAATGGGGTCAGGCGTCTGAAGACAGCACATCCCCGGAGGGGGAGCATCACCCAAGACGGGTGGTATTTAATCCCCACCTCCCGAGTTGCTAGGCTGGCTGGGGGTGGGTTGCCCTGGGTGGGGCGAAGGGGGCTGAGAAGTGCTGGCATACTCTTCTCCTCGATGTCCACTCGCTTGCAGTCGTTCGTGGAGACACTCAGGGGGCAGGAATACATGGCCCCCGTCCGTGTGGCGTTCTCCGTCCCAGCTGCCACGTCCTGGGGCGCTCCAGCCAGCAGCCTGCCAAAGACACAAGGGAGCAAAGGAGCTCAGGGGCCTGGGAATCATAACCCTAGTGCTTTGCACCCTCCCTAGAGCAGCCTTCCCCCCTGGGATCGCACAGTGCTGTGCAAGTGTTAAATCCTTCCTTGCAACGCCCCCCACCCCCCACTACACACACAGAGGCAGCAAAAAGAGAATCAACTTCACTCAGCAGCAAAATGCAGCCACCTCTGGGGTGGAACGTGGCTGCTGCTTAACAGCACACAGCAATGTATCATAACGGGCAAGAGGCTTACAGGGGGCCTCGGACCCTCGTTGTTATTGTTACAGTAGTGCCTGAAGGCCCTGAGGTTGGGCTAGGGATGTACGAACACCTAGCTAGAGACAAGCCTGGAGGGAACACGGCTGCTCACCAGCGGGAGAGCTGTTTGTCACAAGGCCGTGCTGGCCGTGGTGGCAGCAGGCAGACTGCAGTCTCTGCATGCAGGCCCCAAAGCAATCCACACCAAAGCCCGCACTGGCCTTTCCCCAGGGACCAGCATACCAGGAGCTAATCCTAAATGCAGCCTGCCGGGGGAAAGGGCAGCCGGAGCTGCATCGGACCAGCCAGCCTGCTCTGCCCGTTGATCAGCTGGACATTCTCCTGTCAACAGCTCATCTCTGTGTCAGTCAGACCGTCTGTCACCGAGTGCTCGTCCCCCGAGCCCCATTGCCCCACTGTCAGTCCGACTGTCCGTCATCGAGGGCTCGTTCCCCGAACCTCATCGCCAGTCAGACTGTACGTCACCAAGGGCTTGTTCCTTGACCACACTGCTCTAGTGTCAGACTGTCTATCATCCAGGGCTTGTCCCCCAAAACCCATTGCTCTAGCATCAGTCAGACTCTCCGTCACCGAGGGCTCGTCCCCCAAATCCCATTGCTCCCGCGTCAGTCGGACTGTCTGTCACCGAGCGCTGAGATTACTATTACACTCTAGATCTGTTTACATAATTTCACTCGTTCCCTGTTTCGGTGGGAGCAGCAGCAGGGAGCTCTATTGCCATGGATAGGTATTATTTACGTGTGTGCGCGTAGGGGTGGGGTGCCAAAGAGCCCATCTCAATATTAATTCACTGCAGTTAACATCTCCCTTCCTGCTTCCTGCCGGCTGCGCGCCTTGCCCGCTACCGCTCACGGAGAGTCAGCCAGGTCGCACCGGAGAGTACTTCAGACGGCCCCGAGATGTCTTCATACAGGACAGGGAGCTACGCCCCAAAACGTCAACCTTCCTCGCACCCTCCTCCTCCTCAAGGAACAGATCAGGGCAAGCGTTTCCTAACAGCTACACTTCCCAGGTGATGCAGGAATGGGGCCCCACTAGGGGAGGCAGCTGGGTGTCACCATGACAAAATTCTCTCCCCCCACCACTCAATGTCTCCCCGTTAGGAGGCTGCGTATGATTGAGAGGGACGAGGCATCAGGGAGGGAAGAAGCCGAGATTTGGTCCCATCTGGATTCCTGGGCCCCCCAGAGGAGTTCATTGCCCCTCTGCTGTGCGAGGTGGCAGGTGGCATCCATCCACCAGAAGCCAAAGCACACATCCCATTCCACCGGGCACCCCCTAAAGGAGTCGGTGGAATAGCCCCGGGCTGGACAACGAGGGTTTGTACAGACAGGCGCTCTCAGCCCTCCCTGGATCCATTTCTCCACCGCTCTCTCTAAGCTGGCTCTAAACCCCGATGCAGACCAGTGTGCGGGAACAGGATGAGACCCAAGGTCCAGCTAACCCAGTAGCCCATCTCTGACCGTGGCCAGTACCAGAGGAAGGTGCAAGATCCACAGAGTCGGCAGCTGTGGGGTAATATCTGCCCCACAAGAAGGTCTCATCCTGACCTCTGACAGAGATCAGCTGAAGCCCCCTAGCCCCACAGTTAAGATCTCTTCCAAACTTTCTGTTGTCGGCCTCCGCTGCACACAGTGGCGAGGCAGATGAGGCAGGTTAGGTGGCTGGTTTTACAGTCACTTCTCGGGAGGCAGATTTCCACTTTAAACAGCAAATCACTGCTTAAGTGTTTAGGTCCAGTACCGGATTTACAATGGCACCAGCGGCCCCATGGAGCCGGGCCCATGCTCAGAAGGGGGCCCCAGCCTGCTCTCCTTGCCCTGTGCCCTGAGACCCTGCCAGCCCACTGGATTCCCCTGCCCCACCATTTGCTCCTCTCGGCCTGCCCGCTGGCCAGCCGAGGGCTCCTCTCCACCCCCCTGGCCCCACCCCCAGCTTCTCTCTGCCCCCTGGCCGGACCCCAGGGCACCGCTGGCTCCCCACCACCTGTGGGGCCCCACCTGTCTCCCCGGAGCTGAGCCACCTGGGACTGGAGCAGAAGCCTGGCCAGTCTCGGCAGTCAGGGGCAGGGGGACAGTGTGGGGGGCTTGGCTGGGCCCCTCCAGGCAAGTGGGTCCTGAGGGAGCCCGGCCGGGGCAGACCCTCGCGCCAGACACAGTTGCCTCCCAGCAGGGCCAGTAAGTGCAGCCAGGAGGCAGGGAGTGGGTAGTCTGGGGGTGGGGGGTGCTGGGCTGTAAGGGGGCAGGGAGGATCTGGGTATGCTGGGGCACTAGGGAGTGGGGGATTTGTGGGGGGTGCTGGGCAGAGCAAGTCCAGGGGGGGCTCTGGCCATAGGGAGTCAGGAGGGTGCTGGGCTGGGCGGCTGTGTGGCGTGCCACAGGCCCACCCCCACAGGAAGGGGCACGTTGGCAGCACAGGGCCGGGCAGGACACTGTGCATCTGGCAAAAAAGTAGCATCCTCGTACTAGGCTGGGCGGAGCGGGGCCGCTCCTGCCATATCATGCCCCTGGCCAGCCCCTGGCTCCAGGGACTGATCTCCCCACGCCCTGCGCCATTGCTCCCATGGGGGCCCACCAATATATTTGGCGCCGGGCCCACAAAAGGTTAATCTGGCCCTGTTTAGGGCAGGGTGAGACCGCACTGTGGCGAAATTTATGCCCCCCCCACCCCAATATTCAACCGTTTCAGCTGCGGCTTTCTTTACATTCTTGCGCAGAAGTAGGCTCCTTCCGCAGCTCGGCTCTCCAGAGGTTCCAGCAACTTTCCACCAACTTGGAGGAAGGTGGGAAGACCACACAGCCCGGCCTGGAAGCTGGATGGAGATCAAAAGCCTATGCCAAGAAACCCAGGGTGGTTTGGCTTTTGCAGAATCTCACTCTGGGTTTGCAAGCCCAAAACCAAGTGGGAATTAGATCCGACTCCCATCTTCTCCGGTCCAGCCAAGACCAGGGGAATTTCTCTCTCTCTGTCCAGTTAACTCCACATCAGTAAGTATCTGAGCATCTCCCGAACCCAGATGGATCAATCCTCACAGCCCCCTTTGCAAGGTAGGGAAATATTACTAGACCTGCACAGAGATGGGGAAACTGAGGCACAGAGCGAGTAAGTGACTTGCCTTCGGTCTCACCGAGAGTCTGTGGCAGAATCTGGAGTAGAACCCATGTCTCGCCCATTGCCCGCCTGTCACAGCACACTCATCTACTCCAATCCCAGGGCACGGATGGCAGCCTGGGGGTGGAGGGAGGGTAGTTATTGAAATTCTACCTGTCTGTCTAAGGTATTTAGATGGGTCCCGGTGCCATATCATCTGCACCTCACAATCGCCACTGTACGTACCCTCATGACACTCCAGGGAGGCTGGGCACCACGGTTATTGTTTTACAGGCGAGAACCAAGGCCCAGGGAGGCTAACAGAAGTTAAGGGCTGAAATACCTTTGAGGATCTGGGCCCAAGGCTGTAATGGAACAGGAATCTGGGTCTCCCAAGTCCTAGGCTAGGGCCCACTGGCCCATCCTCGCTCTCTGGTCAGTTATATTTGCACGGGTGCCGGCGACGTACGGCATTTAATATCCTAGATGTGTGTGTGCGTGTCTTTCAATTACACCCTGGCTATGTACCACATGTGCTGCCTGGTGTCGATTTGTTTCTCTTTACCACACAGCTGCCAAACAAGAGACAGACGGAGAAAGGGTTGATAATAGCTGCTGGTGGGGGAGGGAGGGAGAGGAACCCGTTTCCAGCTGAGATGCAGAGTCAAGGGGGCTGGGAGATACTGGGACGGCTTGCACTGCGTTGGAGAAGGGTCTCAGACCCGCCCTGCTGGAGCAAGGGGAAAGAAGCCAGAGGGATTAAGTGACTTGTCCAAGGTCCAACAGGGAGGCTGTGGCAGAGCCTGGAATAGACACCCCCCCACACAGACACACACACACACACACACACACACATCTGCGGTATGAATTTAAACCTTCCCAGAGCACCGGGACTGCGAGGGTGGAAAGCAGCCAAGCTGAGTTAGCTCTGAGTCAGAGCTGGCTGCCTGAGATGGAAGAGGTGAGCCCTTCCCCCGCTCACCCACCTGCCGTTCCCTTTCCTGGGCGAGTCCCGGCAGGTCCATGGTGCATATGGGGCTGCGGACTTGCCAGAAGGCACAGGCAGATAGCAGCGGCCTGCTTATCGAGTGACTCAGGTGCCCACGGCTCAGGAGGGGAAATATTTTCCTGACAAGTCACTCCACTTCCAGCTTCACTCACACAGGATGCCAGGGTCAGAGGGGAGTGAGTCAGCTTCCCTGTGCCAGGGCCTCATGCCAACGGGGAGTGCAAAGGCAAGGGGCGGGGGCATCCAGGGGCAACGGAGTCTTTTCAAATCAGCAGCAGAGAGCCATTTAAGGAAGGTGCCCAGGACCCCAGCTGCAGGGGAAATTGACAATCATGGGGGAGCGGCCAGTTCCGAGTCCAGAATGAATTCGTCCCAAGATGCACCAGGGCAGACCTTGCTTTATTTTCCCCAAGCTGGGTACTTTAGCACAATATTTGGTACCTGCGCCTGGGAAGGGTCTGTCGGAGCGCTGAGGTGGCCTCCCCAAGAGAGCGAGGTATTGTAGGAGGGATTCGGGACGGGCCTGAATCACCCACCCCTGCCAAAGGTGAATTTCAGATCCCAAACTCAACTTTGCAAGCTCAGGCAGAGCAGGGC